TTGAAAGCAGGCAGAATGACTGGAAGTTAATTACTGAGGCCATGAGACAACTGCCGTTTCATGTCGCCATGTAGCTTGTTGCCTCGCTCTTCCTTAGGCATGGAGTTCTTTTTCACTTGTGAAGCCAGTTGTACAATCTTCAGGGGGCGAGCTTGCTTTTGCCAGGTAATTTATGCTAGGTCTAATTTAAGACAAGCAAACTTTCATCTCCTCATCAACATTTCTGATCTTTCATATCGGCCAGAGTTGAAAATCCCTGTTCACAATAATATGTCGTGTAGAAGAATAACCAATGTTCTAGAAGAGAGGCATGTCCTCAGTATCGCTTGATGTTCTTGCTCTCATTTTGAAAATATATCTATTGATATTCTGCAAATATGAAAAATTACGTTGATACTATGCTGTACTGAAATATTTAAATGTTTCTTTGATTGTGCTTTAATCTTCCTGCCACACCCGTGTGGCAGACCACGCCCTTTGAGAACCAACAACCTAAGATAATGCATGTTTATATGCTATTTTCACCAGTGTATACAGTTTTAATGTATACAGTATATGCACTTTTTGTATGCATTAAATATGGACTGAATCAAATCTCTCCCCCATCCCTACTCTCCATTGGCTTCCATCTGTAGAAAGGAGAGCTGCTAGCAGGTGAATACCTTAAGGGGCTTCTCTCCTGCTCCTTAATTTGAAGTTGTTGTTGTTGTTGTTTAGTCGTTTAGTCATGTCCGACTCTTCGTGACCCCATGGACCAGAGCACGCCAGGCACTCCTGTCTTCCACTACCTCCCGCAGTTTGATCAAACTCATGCTGGTAGGTTGAAGAACACCATCCAACCAACCATCTCATCCTCTGTCGTCCCCTTCTCCTTGTGCCCTCCATCTTTCCCAACATCAGGGTCTTTTCCAGGGAGCTAATTTGAAGTTAGCAGGTGGCAAAGTGTGCTTAAGATCAGAATTGCTGCTAGAACAACATGCTCACCTAGCATGTATTTCAAAAACCTTACTGGGCAAGGATGCAGGGGTAAATTTCTTATGGATGTGCCCATCATGTTTTTATGTGCAGCAGCAGGCTCAGCTGGAGAGGTGGGAAGGTGGGGTAGGCCTCCGGATAGCATCTTCTTGGCCAGGTATCCAGTACATCTTTGAGGGTCTATACATGGTCTTGGGCTCCAGAGTCAGGATAGGGATTTTTGCTAGTGCATCAACCACCCAAACAGTCCCCTAACTCAAGCTGATGGAGGTGGTGTTGAGTATGGCATTGAGATTGGCATCGGGGGGCTTCAGCAACCATGCTGGGACTATCTTGTCTAAAGTGTCTGAGGAGTCGTCATGGTCACCAAGTTAACCATGAGTCCATTTCAAGAATATCAGGGCTCAACGCATGTCGCAGTACAGATTTTAGATCTGATTTTCTGCACAGTTATGAGGGAACATATTCAGAAGCTGGGGGAGCCAGATACGACTCCAGTTGCTATCTGGTCAGGTTTCCTTTCAGGGCTGCTCAAAAGCTTTGGAGGTCCACCTCCCTGGTCCAGATGGATTTCTTATGGGCTGGAGGCGCGAAGAGTTTCCTATGAGGGATCTTGTTGAGGCCCTGGTCTCTGTTAGTTGGGATGAGAGGATCATGTGGGTAATCAACACAATCATTCCTAAATGTCCTCATTTAGGAAGCAATGGAGCAAACGGCTTCACGCCATTCTTATTAGGGCTGCTAAGTACTGAACAGTGAAAGCTTCTCATTTCTTCACCTGTATTGAGAGAAAATAAAATGCAATAGTGACATCTAGTGATCACATCTTAATAATGCAATAGAGACATTTGGATTTTAAGGGTTTTACACAAGGTGGTTTTACACAAGTGGCTTGCTAGTTCACTTTCCAGGACTGATAGTGAAATGTAACTTTCATTTTTGTTAAAGTGTGTTTCCTGCCTTCTCCGCTCTTCTGCCTTTCTGATGACCTATTGCCATGTGCGACAAAGCTTTTACCGGCAGCACAGTTTGTATTGGGCAGATTTCATGTTCTGCAAAACTACGAAAAGCTGAGTTGCAGGTGGTTGTGGCGCTTCCTCTTCAAGTTCATCTAAGTTTTGCAATTTATTTTAAAGTTGCCTTTTGAATCTATTAGCTCAGATTTAATTACATGTTGTGAAAAGGGTCCTGATTTGATGCAGCAGCAGGCTACTGTACACACATTGTCAGAGAATTAGAGATATTCTCCAAGCAAGCGATGGGAACTGAGGGGTGCAGGCTTATCCTCTATTAAGCCACGTGTTCCAGCCTTTGACTGATGATCCATGTTGCTGATGGTCCATTTGTATCAAGGGAGGTGTCTGGAACACTGCACACCCAGCACAAACCTAGGCACATTTTCTCTTTGGTAACTCAGGGTACCTACTTCCAAACAACCTGTTTGTTGATTTCTTTGCAAGGAAGTTAGACAATGTCTGCTATTTTGTGAGCATTCATCCTGATTAGTTTGTGGGGAGGTTAGAAAATGTTGTGTTATCATTCCCTTATCTCGAAATGTCTGAACCAGCTTTTTGGAAAGCAGGTTTGTTGCAGAAGAGCTCTAAATCAACTTGGCCTGAATTTGCCAATATGTGACTGAATCCTACCCAAATATCGAGACCATTTGCCAGTGCCTTACTTAGGAAGTTATTACACCTCCTCCTTCACCCTGTCATGCTCCTTAATGTATAAGCTACCATTTCCCAGCAACCTTTGGGAAAGTCACAAGAACTGCATCTTTCAAAGTACATCACCTCTCTTTCAAAGTGGGCAAAAAACAAAAGATCAGTCACCCCACCCCACCCTTTTAACTTTCAATCCAGCTTCAATTTGTTTGGCACATCAGGAAACTGAAGTGATATTTATATCATTCCAAGCAGCAAGCTATTCTGGACCCAGTAGCAGACTCCATGTTAGAAAAAGGCTGTTTTTGCCAAGGCTTCTGGAAAATAATGTCTGGCAGGAAGCAGAAAAGAATCTCTCCTACGTGCAAGCTCTTGCTGGTGATCTTTGCAGTGGTGCCTACATAGCACTTGGGAACTGATTTGTTAGAAGGACAGAATCTAATTTCACTCTGCCTTCACACACCTCCCAAGACTGCTTACGAAGCAAGAGTATAAAAGTAGGCATGAAGATGTTTGCTCCCCTCCCCTCTATGTCATCCCCCTTTCCATGGGCTTGTGCTTCCCTACTTTCCACTCTTAACAAATTCTGGTTTTAACTAAAATGACTTCCAGTCCTGGAGGCATACACTTTCAGTCTCTCTTGGGTCATTTACCTCTCCACCCACCCACTGCTTATGTTCCAATTCATACAGCTGCATTGATAAACCACCACCAAAAAATGCAGGGATTGTACATATGATTGCCATCATCCTGGTTCTTTTTGTAGGTGGTGCTCCTGCATTTTGGGAAAACGCCAAAGAAAGATGCTCTTGATACACTGTATGTACAGTTTCATCAACACTGCCTTTTGCGGGGAGGGCAGTTTTATCAAGGCACACATCCATAACTGGTTGGGAGCAGGGGAGGGAAATGACAGCTTACAGCGTATCTTGATGAGTATTGGGTTGGAGGAGGAACCGTCATCTTTTCATTTTAAATGACTGGCTTCAAAATTCTGTTGATGAAAGTCACCAAGATTAGAACCACCAGGCATTCAAACTGCATTGGAAAAAAGAGGAGGGTAATAATAAAAGGCATTCTGTCACACAGCTAGGAAAAAGCCCAAAGGTGAAAAGTATCTTAAACGAGTATTGTTGGCTTCAAAAGACGGAACATCTTTTTCAGATGTATGATTTCCCTTTTATTTTAGCAGAGGTTTGCCACCAGCGACAGCTAGAGTATAACACCAAAGCAAACTGAACAGTGTATAGGTATAATCTCATCTTGGCACATGAAGGCTGCTCTAAGCCTCTGGGTTGCAAACCGGACAGGGTCTACCTACCAGGATAAGCAATATATGAACAAATATTCATCCCCGTTTGGTGGAGGGAAGCCAGTATGCTTTACCCATCACTTGAAGGTTACATATAAAGGCCTCTTGAAATATTAAAGGGAGGTTTGGCACTTTTTCTGGGCACCAGATGCATTCACAAACTTGGATAGCTCCTCTCCTGTGAAGAGGAAGGCATTGTAGAGAATCTGCAGCATTGTTCATTTCCATTCTTCATTGGCAAGGAAATACACAGATCCCCTCCTTGAAGGAATCTATAATGTTTCCTAGGAGGCAGGTACAGGACTGTTACAGAAAGGTTCATTCTTGTGCACCAGCAAGTGCACATCGAAGTGTTTTATCTGTACATGTAAACTGTTTTCTGGTTTTTAACTTAAGATGTTATGATTGCTTTGTATAAATGTACTGTTCGGTCTCGACAAAAACTTAACCGATTTAGTGAGACACAGAATTTACCACTGTAGAAGTACAGTGAGGTGCACCACCACCCAGCCAAGCAGAAGCTGTTTTTCGTTCCTTCAGCTCCCTTGTGACACCAGTAAATCCAAAATCAGATTTAAAACACTTCTTCTATTGTCTTCACAAAAGACATAGAGGACCTTGTACTTGCATGAAGGCAATCCAAGTTTTGTTTCCTCTCTGCTGCCAGTTCTGGAGAAATTTTAACAGAAGGGAGCAAGTAGCAATGCGTGGGCCAGTCAATGTTCCATGCACCCACGTCAATCAAACTGCATAGGGCAAAAGAAAGGAGGGCAATAAAAGGGCACTGTCTCTGCCAGACAGAAACAAGCCCTCACTGCAAGAGGACATGTGAAGCACGGCAACTTGAGGCGTTTCCCATTCCAAATCAAGAACAGGCTCTGGAGCTGAAACAAGACCCAGGCTCCAATAAAGTGGATTATTTCCAAGCATTTGAGAAGCTTCGGACAGCTGCAGCTAGGATGAGAAGTCTCACAGTCCAGGGTGAAAGAAGAACAGGGACAAAATCAAAACTGCTTCTTACCTAGAACTGAGCCGAATGCCCTTTTCCGATGAGCCTAAAGGATACAAACAATATTGCCGAGGTCTCTTGGAAGAACTGCCCAGATGACATGATGCTTGAAGAAAACCTAGTTTCGAGGCTTTTTAGCAGACCCAAGTGCACAGAAGATTTTGCAGAAACTAACGAGGGCACATCAAATATTTCGGGGCTTCGAGACAGCTTGGACCAAGTCCAAATGAGCAACTGTAGCGAATATCCCCACTCGAGCAATGACAGCTCAACAAGTCAGAGTTCCTGGCAGGACCACTTTGTCAGTCTAAAGCAGCAGATGGCCAGGCAGAAGGCAGAGTACGAGACTAAGATTTCAAGGTAAGAGCTCCGTCCCTGAAATTTCTAATGCATTTCCTTTGGGTTTCTCAGGGGCTCCTACAACGAAAAGACAAGGAGTTGTGTTGGTTTCTAGATACTGGCAACACCTATTGGTTTTTGCCAGAATAAGTTGGAATAATTTACATATAGAATGCACTAAAAATAAAAATAATCACATGCCTCAAACTTTGAACTGGTGCTGTAGTTTTAGCTATGACCTTTAAAGGAGTAATGAACATAACTGTGCTTTGCCAGAACAGTATTTTCTTCCAGAAAGGCCAACATAAAAATATGACTGTATGACTGGCATGTATTGGGTGGCTGTCTGAATGCACGTTTGTTGGGTGGTGGTGGTTTTCAATAGCAAAGATAGGACTGTGTACTCCTTCTTTATTTACCACAATCTTACTGCATTTTGCAATGAGACTTGAGCTCCAGGGGATAATATCCCTTCCCCCTGCCCTCCACCAGCCCCCTGTAGTCAGTGTGGTTCTGTAAGTGATGAATGCGTGAAGATTGTAATTCCAAACAGCAACAGGCATAATAGATAGAGAGATTGATCTGGTCATAGATGTGATGGTTTTAATAATTTTGTATCAGGGCATGTGAGAAGAGCAACAGTATCCTTCTTTGAATTGTGTCTTATTTATAGGGCCCAGGATGAAGCGCTTGAAAAGTGCTATGCTTTAAAAATCCCTATGTCAAAAGACGGCCAGGAGAAAGGTGGGCTGCAAAATGCTAAACTACAGTGTCTGTGTTTATGCCAACAGCCTGGAGCAACGGAACAAAGAATTGCAGTTAGAGATTAAAGATCTGCATTTGAAACTGGGTCAGCAACGGAAGTGGCATTGCTTGGTGGAAATTAAAATGCGCAACACAGAGAGGGCACACAAAGATGCGGAGAGAAGGAATGAAGCACTTCAGAGGGAAATGGAAGAGTTTTTTGATACTTTTGGAGAATTAACACATGAAGGAAAGATAACAGAGCAAATTGGCCAGAGCTTATAGGGAGTGACTGGCCTCGATTCTGGCTCCCCTGCTGCTGCCGCCACTCCCATTTTCTTACTACATCCAAATGTAGAAGGTGGAAATCCTGGACTTTTCAGAGCAATATAACATACTATGATTATATAGGATTCTTCTTGCTTATATTTTAAAATATTTCTATATGTTGTAAAGTATGTTGTGCAATGCTTAATTCAAACAGTTAATGCAGAATTCAGGGTTACACGCTATGATACCATTGACCATGGCCGGCTGCTGGACTGGCTCTGTGGCATGAATTGGGGGGGGGGCGGCATTGCAATGTTGTGCCCAGAAAGTAGTGCTGAGAAAATGTTCCTTGGGCCCACGGCAGTTACGTTATGGGATCCCACAAGGCACTCTTTTATCCCCAATGCTATTCAACACTAAATGAAGCCGATGAGAGCAGTCATTTGGCGTTTTGGAACAAGGTGCCGTTCATATGCTGATGATACTCAGCTCGGTTTTTCCATTGCATGTGATTTAGGAGCAGCAGTGAAAGACTGGGACTAGTGCCTGGATGCAGTGATGGGCTGAGTCTGAACTATGGGAAGAATGAGGACTTATGGGTAGGTAGTTCTTTGATCTGGGATGCAGGCCCAATTACCTGCCCTGGATGGGGTTGCACTCCCTCTGAAGGAGCAGGTACTGTACATAGTTTGAGTATGCTGCTTGAACCACCATTGTCACTTAAACCTCAGATGACCTTAATAATATCTACTTGTAACCAATTCTGTTAACTTTAAAAACCTGTGTGTAACGGGAAACCTTGCCCCAGAAACAAAACATTGCTTTCCTGTTTTATATTTCAAGCAAGGATAGTCAAGGAAAAGGTTTCTAGAAGTGGTTTTTAATTTTTGTAGGTAGGGCAGCTAACCCGTGTGTCCTCGAGATGTTGCTGGACTATGACTCCCATAAAACCTGACTATTGGCCATGCTGGCTGACGTTGGGAGTTCACAGATTATCTGGATAGCACAGATTAGCTCCCCTGTTGTAGATGGCCAATAATTTTGCTTGCTTTAAATGCAGAATAAGCAACAAGGGCCTGAAAGAACATCGCATGTAGATGATACCGGCCATGTCTCTAAATATCCACAATGGCATTATTATGGCATTTGTAGTTTTCCTGTTTCACATGATCCTGGAGTATTCTAATAATCATCTACACCACCTCTGAGGTCTCCCCTCCACCCAACTAGTAGTTTAAAAAATTATTTTGCTCTTATCTTTTTATTCAACTTAAAATTGCTCTTCCAAGATTATCCATATTTCCCTCCACCATTCCAAAGAAGTATAGAAATATTCATGTTGAGACACAAAAACGAGCAAGCCAGAATTCTTATATACATTTTGTCCACATTTATTTCATTTTTACAGTGGCTTTAATATAGATGTTGAAAGACAAGACTATTGGGGAGAAATGGAAACCCAAATTAAAATAAGACTAAAAGCTAACACTTAATAATTCACTATTAATAACATTATTTTCAAAAGTCGAGTTCTGAGGGGGGAGGCATCTAATCTTGTTGAAGTAGCCATGGTATAAAATAATTCACTTCCATTTTCCACAGAACATTGCACAAGCATCAAGAATGAAATGTGTCAAGAGCCTCATTTAGTACACAGAACAGGTCATTTGATGTATCAATACACTGAGATTTCAAAGGTTTAGTCTGAAAGCACATTTCAAACTGACACAATAAATGACCCGAGACTCCAAACATGGTGAGGATATTAGGGCTTGATGCCATTTTTCTGTGATAATTTGTATATGTAAATCACTTGAATACAGGCACATACATCGCAGCACATGTTTTACAGGGAATAAACAATATTGTAAAAACAAAGGCTTATGGGGGAAATCTGAAAGATAAAAATGTAGATATGAGGAAACAATTTAAGGCTGTTTGTTAAAAACAATATTTTAATGGAGAGCTCTCCAATAGTTCACCTACGCATGTTACAGGCATAATGTACTGGGACCTTCGATGTAAGCGCCATTTAAATCAATGAAGGCCATCGACAGCTTACTCATTTTGACTGGGCTTGTACAATGGAAGTTCCAAAACATTCTGCCCTAAGCCAAAATCTAGCTGGATTGTTTAAAGTTACTGGAAACTAGGGGAACAGCTAACTATAACATCTGTTAGCACAGGACTGCCAAATTCAACCAGTGTGGCTACAGTTTAACTTCAGTGGCAACACAAGTCTTCAGGCTGATTCACACATCAGCTTTTGGGGCTTTCAAACCACAGGCCGAGTTACTACAGTGTGATAACACACCCATAGTGAAGCAACTCCTGGTTTAGCATAGCACTGCAAACACTTGAAAAATGTAATCAGCACAAACAGTCTTAAGGTTGTGTGAATCAACCTCTGGAAATAACTGGAGTCATTCTAGAAAAATTAATGAGGATCTACCACAGTATAATATTTAAGTTTTAAGAGGAGGGATACTTGAAAAATGCTCAAAAGTTCACCTAAGGTTTTTATTCAAAAGTTTGGCTAGACTGATATGCTTTGTGTATTGCCTTTAATTAAATACTTCATTGACTTTTGAATTTAAGAGTTACATTTGGCCCTTGAAAATATGTTTCATGCATTACCCAGTAAAAGACCCGGAAGAGGAAACAGCATTTTTTTTTGTGTAGAAATTTACATTTCCTTCAGTATTCCACAATAACTTTTTGTAAAGAAAACCCAAACACTCTGGAAAAGGACAATAGCTAAACATAAACCAACAACCATTTAAAAATATATGCATATAAAAATGTCAACCATATTGCTATGCCAATTCTTGTTGAAAAAATTCATGTAGGCATCAAAAATTCATTACAAAATTGTGCACATTTCTTTTTTGTTTCAGTCACCACTGTTTCCCCTAAAAGATGATAGCACCTCACAGTAGCATCTGCTATGAAAAAGTGGGAAGGGTACAGCTTCATTTCTCATGTGCACTTCTACAGCAAACAAATATGGCCATCATTAACATACATAATTCACCTTCATTATGAATGGGAGAAAGATGATTAAGCTGTCCTCTGTGTTTCAGTCTAAGGCACATAGTGCAGAACTAAAGCCCTATATCTGCCAAAAAAAAAAAAAAATGCGTACTTGTGAGAGAAATACTATGGACAGAACCAGGGCTTCTCACTGAGATGGGATCCCATCTTTGTATACATTTTATATAAATTGCCTGTCTAGCATGCACAAGGGTTGATTCCTGCAAGCTTATCTGGGTACGTTCATAGTATAAATACGGGAAAGCTAATTTATGATGCATAGCCAAAAATTATTTAAAAAAAAAATCTAATGAAGAACCTGATTGCTAGCAGTAATTTCTAATCCAGAAAGACATAATGCACTTAAGTCCCATTAATTTACCAAACTCACAGCCAAGTGTACACAGATCTTGGACAGTTTGAAAAAGCACTTAGCTATGGATTTTGAAACTCAGCTTTCTATTTCAGGGTTATTTCCACCTGACATTAAAGTACACTAACTTTTAAGCCAAAAAAAAAAAAATGCACATCCAAAATGTTTAAAAATAGTTTTATTTTTTAAAAAATCAATATCTTGGTTTAAACTAGTCTCCTCCCCAGAAGCCCTAACTACAATGATATTAATTCAGTCCACAACAGGCGCAGCAACACACAGCATGATCCCTGTTGACATGTGAGCCTGTTTCTCCCAACCTTTCCACAGCACGTGTAAAAGATTATGGACAGTCGGCAGGCAAGGCTGTTACAGGAAACTGGGATACGTGGGTGCACAGAAACACACACCTTCCACATCCCATCTAGCCCTCCTGCTTTACTTGGGCAAGAGTATCTGGCTCCAAGCTTTCATTTTTTGACTGAGCAGAGGGAATACATTAGATGATCATAAAGGGATGAATGTTAAAGCACCAATCTCCCATTACACGCTAGTGCAGGGCCTATATATGCACCCATAGATGAGCACCAGAGGGAAGAGGAGGAAAATTTCCCTCATATGCATTATGGAGAGCCCTACGTAAGCAGCTACTGCGTTCGTGCTGGACTGCATCAACTTCAAACACTTTTAATAAGTAAAGATTGTGTGATGAGAGAGGAGGCATGGTTGTGTTTAGAAGAGCCCTAAAGTGCTTTAAAAAAAACAATTAACAAAACAGATTGCTGTGCAAAAATGCAGGCACTCTTTCAGAAAAATTAAGCAGCAGCATGACAAAGTAAAAATTAAAATCTTAAATACACAATTTGAACCTTAAGTACATTTTCTTTTCAATTTTGGAACCATTAGAACCAAATGAATTAAGGAACCAATTAATTTACTACTTCCAAGCAGTATATTTCTACTTTATTTTTACAAATTCATATACGTATTGAAATATAGGACCCAGACTTATCTACAATATGCACAATGAGTTAATGGCAGTGAAATCCACAATCAGAATTACAATTATAAAAATAAAATACAATTGTTTTATAGTTTAAAAATGAGAACATGTGTTTTCCTTTTGCTTTGTTCATATGAGAAGATGGCTTGTAATTCTTTAGCACAAGAGATTCTCAACATGCATACCAAGCATAAAATAAAATAAAAAATTACATAAAGGTATTAAAAGTAGAATCTAAACAAATTATCTTATAATTTGGTTCACTGTTTTTCATACCGCAACATATAAAAAGTGATCTCAGCAACATTGATGGTGAAGTTATGAAATTAAAGATCAGGCAAGTCAGCTGAGGGAATTTAACCTGACTCCAAGTTCTGTCTCTGGAAGCAGATGTGCACATCACATTAACTTCAAGTATGTTATCCAAGTACACACATGTCCAGGAAAACATTTAGATCCAACAGTATCACTAAATGTAGCATCAAGCCCTGATCAATTCCATACTACATACACTGACTTCATCTGTATGCAGAATTTTACAGACAACGTTCATACTGAATTTACAAAATGTTGATCAGCCTTTCTTAAGCTTGCAGTTCTGCACCTCAGTTTAACAATCCAGTTCCCTACATAAGCTGTACAGTGGAACCTTGGGTTGCGAACGTGATCCATGCAGGAGGCATGTTCGCAACCCGCAGTGTTCGCAACCTGCAGCGCCACGTCTGTGCACATGCGTGATACAATTCGGTACTTCTGCGCATGTGCAAAGCACAATTTAGTGGTCCTGCGCATGTGCGACCGCCAAAACCCGGAAGTAACCCATTCCGGTACTTCCAGGTTTGGTGCGGTCCATAACCCGAAAATGCACAACCCGCAGCGTTCGCAACCCAAGGTATGACTGTATTGCTGCCAAGACTGGACCAGTATTCTCTAAGGCATAGTCAAGAAGGATGCCTCTGCACTTGAGGAATAAATTCCAGATATTTATAAGGAATGCTATCCAGCATGCATCTTGCACATTATTATGGCCACCAATTCTGTTTCGAAAAACCGATCTCAATTTAGATACTGCAGCTTTTAGTGCAACCTAGCACAAATTTGCAAACTGCATATTTATCTTCCCGCTTAACTCCTGGGGTGTTAAGTTGTAGCCTAAAACTACAGATCCGTTCTTCCTACATCTTAATTACCTTGAGCCTAAATTCAAAGAACCATACACCTAGTTCCACATGCCCCAAGGAGCTTCAGAGCAGCCCCCTCCCACAGCACATGGCAAGTCTCTCTTGAAACTGAAGAGAGTTTCAAAACCAGTTTGTGATATGGCCCATGGTGTGGTGTTCAAAGGAAAATAAGAGTAAAAAGGTCTACTGGGCTCACCTAACTTAGAAACCTGGATCCTAGACCCTCCTTCAAAAGCAAAGAATGAGGAACTGGTGGCCCTCAGATGTTGTTGGACTCCCGCCATCCCAGACAGTATGGCCAATGGGCAGGGATGATGGGACTTGCAATCCAACAGCACATGGAGAGCCGTGGGCTCCCCATATCTACTCGGAAGTTCATACATTCCACAGAAAATCATGTAAACCTGTAACAGTAACAAAATGAGTTTAAAATTAAGCAGCTCATGCTGAAACACAGGACTTGAAAGGATGGATCTGTGAGGGTACAGCTGTTTTGTTTTTAAACCCAACACCAAATAGAACACATGCAGATGCCTAGGTTAGCCCAAAAGTAAACATTTGGGTACATAAATAAACCCTTGTTTAACCAGCATGAACTATTTGATAAATTTAGTTTTACTGAATAGAAAATGACACTATTTCAGAGGCTGTGTATAAACCTAAGCACGCAGGAAGCACTCTTCCACACATTACAGGAATCAGCAAAAAGCACTAGTGACTTGACTCTCTTTTCATACTTACATTGCAATATTATGGACATTTAAGGTATGCAGAACCCTCTGTTAATTTCCTTTTTTGCCACTTCCCCAAACGTACCAAAGCAGCTGTTATTTATTTGGTATGATCTGTGCAGATACGTGCCTCTCTTTATATAATTAATCATAAATATGCATGTTCACACAAAATCATTTCTTCAAAACACTTTCTACAAACAATTCAGACTGAGAATGGGTTGCTTCTAATTTCCGTAATGTTCTGAACAAATGACAAGGGTACATGCAAAAACAGTTTTTACATCTACTCCATCTCTGCAATGCCATTCAGCTACTCAGTATTATGTTTAAAGAAATATGTAGAATATAAAATCTCAACATTTAATAGCCAATTTTCTTCATTCTCCCTTTCAGGTGAGCAGTTAAGTAGAACTATTGACAAAGAATGGCGGTTTAAATATTTCACAGTATTGCCAGAGCATGCTATAGTAGTCTCATGATGGGATTTTGTTATTGAAAGACAGCCATACTTGATTACATATACACATAAAGAGCTTTTAAAAAGGTGAACATTTAAGTGGCTCAAACACACCAAACTACAGAAGACAGAAAATATTTAAAGGAATAAACTTGATCAAAAATTGTAGGAAGAAATGACCTAACTGAATTAGCCTTCACTGCTAGAACCTTAAAAATAGCATGGATAAGTTTGAATCTATGTTATATAATACTTACATTCTTTTGTGGCAACAAGACCAATGTGCAAATTTAGGTTTCAGGTTTAGTCCTAATACATAATTAATAGATATAGATTCTGGATTCTTAAATGAGTAAGTGCTAGAATTACCTATTTTGAAGCTGTTGTAGATACAAGATAATGATAAAGGTAAAGGGACCCCTGACCATTAGGTCCAGTTGTGGCCGACTCTGGAGTTGCGGCGCTCATCTTGCTTTATTGGCTGAGGGAGCCGGCGTACAGCTTCCATGTCATGTGGCCAGCATGACTAAGCTGCTTCTGGCGAACCAGAGCAGCGCACGGAAATGCCGTTTACCTTCCCGCCGGAGTGGTACCTATTTATCTACTTGCACTTTGACGTGCTTTCGAACTGCTAGGTTGGCAGGAGCAGGGACCGAGCAACAGGAGCTCACCCCGTCGTGGGGATTCTAACCGGCGAGCTTCCGATCAGCAAGCCCTAGGCTCTGTGGTTTAACCCACAGCGCTAACTAGTAAAGTTATGGAAGTGGCCCACTGGGTCATGTTTTCCCACTGTCTGCCCCATACTTATGTTAGCTCTACCTTTCGGTAATGAAACTGGTCAAAAAAATAACCTTATCACTTGATTTACTGGAATAACATTACCTATACTAGAAGAAAACAGTTTGCAAATATGTATCACACTCATTTACTGCAGAGGTGCATTCCTTCATGCGTAACCTTCCAGAGGCTATAAGACAATGGTGGATGGGCAAAAGTGGGTGGCACAATAGGAGCAATTCTTATCTTTGTACAGTAAGTTACATTCCGACCCTGCAAAAGTCAGAGGCTTTTGCACCCACACATTGCTCCATCGAGGCAAGCAAGAGGCACTGTCACAGTTCAAGGAAACATTCTAGCCAAGCAAAAGCGCTCAAGGCAGGACTGAGCAGGGCCAATGAAGGGCATGGCCTAGGATGGGGCCTGACCCAGGAAGAATTGCACGGGGCAGGCAGTGAGGCAGGAGGGGCTGCATCTGGGACCTGGTGGTGGGGTTCTCCACCACTGATTTACCGCATCTCGTCCCTTTGACATAGGCAGTTTACAAGAGAATGAAATATTACAATTAACGTATTTTAAAATAAGAACAGGAAAGAGTGGAGATGCTAGGTGACAAGGTGACAGTACTTCTAAGTTGGTGAAAATGTTACCTGAGCAGAGACGTGTGTGTGCGTGTTAACTATATTTCTTTGACATTCTATGTGAAGGCTTATTATGAAGGACCACCCAGTCATGCAAGCTCCCAGCTCTCGTCTGGTACAGCCCAGGTTTGCCACTTGAGAGAACTAAGCCCTATAAAAGCATTATACTGAAGAAAAGTGTTACAAGAGCTTTTAAAAGTGGCCATCTTTTTTATTCCCAAACTTAAGAGTATGTGTTTAGACAGTGATGCAAGGCTGCTTTATAATGAACATGACATATCTCACCCAACACTATATAAAAATTAAGCACAAACTTCACTTTTGCTGCCAGTAAGCTATAACCAGAACACATTTACATTCCATTCTCCTCCACACTTCAATCTAGTAATTTTCCTCTTCACTTTCCTTTCAGCAACAAGTTCTTCACAAACGTTTTTCCCCACAACTGTGTGTGTCCCCCCCACTCCATTTCTTGTTATAGGCAATCTCTCCCTTGTCACCAAACTGATGCAAAGAGTCACTAGAGCTCAGCTCATTATTCCTTTTTTCAATATTAGAGATGAGTCTTAGAATACAATATTAAAAGTATTTCTTAGCATGCGCAGAGTGCCTTTCTGTCACCACTGAACAACGGCAGTCTCCCCCCTCCACACACTTAGCATTCAAGAACAGCTCAACCCAGGACTGCTTCTTTAAAAACTGCAAGGTTGATGGCTAGACATTTTGGCAGGGCAGACTCCAGAAAACAAGCTGTCCCAACCAAATCAGGACAACTGAATTCCTGTGATCTGAACTAGTTGCGCCTCACACTGTTGAAGCACAAGCCTCTGGTTGCTCTAATAGCTCCAGTGTCCCTTCACACAACTCACTAGAGTCCTTGTGTATTTCTGCCCCACCCACCCCTTCCCCACCTGCGAAAACTTCGTGTGATAATTCTAAAGTAACGCTGAAGCATGAAACAGAGACCAGTCTCTGTTGCAGTACAGCACATTCAGAAAAGAATGCTCCAATTACTAGATACTTTATACAAAGTATACATACACAATCCTTGAATGCCGCACATTTACAAACATTTATGAAAATATTTTCATAGTGGTTCTGGAAGTACAATGTACATTTTGAAAGATTTAAATCCTATAAAACTAACATACATTAATACTATTTACAGTGATATTAATTTTTAGGACTAGTTTGTCATCACTTAAGTTATACTGGGATAAATCTGCATATGAATGGGAAACCTCTTTTTTATTAAGCACACATTGAAGCATACATTCTTAGTTAAAACATAGATTTCTATTTTTCTGTTTGTAAGTATAATCGATAATTTAGACTCTCTTCAAAGAATAGCTTAATAAAAATGCTACTTTAAGCAAGTCAGAGTTGCTCTGCAACACCTCCTTATTCAACTTTTTGTTAAATACATTGAGTTGTATCAAACCCAATGGGAGGAAGGCTACATCTCTCACCCTGCAGATAATAATGCCATAGTTCTGCATTGATACTTTTTTAAAAGGAGTCAATTTCTTTCTTGTCTGTGGAGGATTCTTTGTGTACTTTACATCTTTGGGTATAGAGATTTAGTAGGAAGTCATTTCAACATTCACAGCCAGTAGAATGTCAGACAACATTATGAATCAAGATTGGGCGGCCAAGATGTCAAACAACTTGAACTCTTAGTCTAGAACTTATTCCTTCACTTGTTCCCTGCTAATCGTCTCTTTCTTCCCTCATGTTCCTCTGCTGTTTTCCCCACTGCTGAGTGTTAATTTGGGACACCAACCTGTCCTAAGTGCCATCCATATGGATCCTTCTATACAAGTACAGGCATGCCCCCACTTACACAGGGCTTATTCTGGGCACCCACATGCATAAGTGAAATCACATAAAGTGGGAAGCACCCTCTGAAAAGACTCTGAATGCCTCTTTCCCCCTTCTCTCTCCCACTCTCCACACGACTCTCTCTTCAACTAGAGTTAAAGCTCTGGGGCTGGTTGGAGGCTGAAGGCCACAAAGGGAAGTAGCTAGTTTTAATTGTACACACGTAGTTTTAATTGTGCACTGGGACTGAACCTTAGAAAAATCACTCCTGAAAGTCAGGTACCCTGACGACCAATGCATTGCAAGGGGTGGGGGCATAATGTGCATGTGGTTCTTAGGATCCTGGCCAACAGTTTCACAGGGGCTCTTTAAAGATGTAAGTTTTATTTTTAATAACATACCTGAAATTAAGTTCTACTGAAATGAATGACATACCTGAATAAGCACTCTGGATCGGGGCAATCCATTCATCCAAGAATCAACTCATACACAAATGTATCACTTAGCAATTCATCAGCTGCTGACAGGTGCACATAATAAATAGCTACCACAAACATATTTCATACCATCTCGCATCTCAAGCACAATATTTAAGGGAGGAAGTTCCCACGTTCAGCAGCAAGTATCAAGTGAAAAGATAGCAATAAATTTACATGCCCATCTGGAAAACCCTAAGAGCAAATTCAAAGAGAAGTCTGTAGCAGCAAATGCAGCAACATGATAGAGCTACTCTAAAATGTATTTGTGGACCATTGCCTGAGACTGCTTATCCTACAAACATCTATTTAGGCTGCAATCCTATACTTACTCACCTGGGAGTAGACCTCACTGAATTCCTTAGGACATATTTCCAAGTAATCTTGCATCAGATTTTGATGTTAATAAAGTGCTGGTGCCAAAGCAGAACGATGGCATATATAGTCCGACTTTGGTTTTCAGTGGAACAAACAGATATCCATCATCCAAGCCAGAAATCTGCATTGTTTAGAGCTTGCCAGTTAAGCCTGTTGCACCACCTGGGATTGTCTCATAACTTTGTTCCTCCCACCATATCTAATACAAAGTGTTAGTCTGGCAACCCACCTACACATTCACATAAACATTTTTATTTTAAACCCTAGGTGAATAGTTTTAACTCAAGCTCAAGGTGTGACGAATTACAATTTTTTAGAGCTAGAAAGAAACTGAATCATGTCAAACTGGTGTTTGCCTTTGGAATATGCCAGAAAAAGAGGGCGGGGGACACACAATTATGTAGTCCTTTTCATAAGGTTTGGTGTTTAAAATAGCCCCTTTCACTTTCTTTTAGAAGTTTCTATTTATTCTGGATGTAGATGTAGTTATTTATACATAGGGAGTAAAGATCCCTTTTAATATACAGACCATAAAAGCAGATATTTTAATGCCTATTCAAAGGGTCAAGGTAGGCCTCCAACCCCTTTGAATGCCCCCATTTTTAATCAAGTTTCCCATGGAAATGCCAGAGTATGAGAAAAGGGGTCAGGATTTCTAAGAGTGTTTTATGAACTGCTTTAAAGACCCCCAAAATCTTATTTTTAAAAGACACACTAATGAATAAATGCATGCAAGAATTAAGAAAAATTCCCACATGGCACGTTTTGCTTATTCCACCTTACCCCTTGAAATGAAAGCACTGAAAGAGCACATTCAGAGAAGCAGAGTTACATTCAGATGTAAAGATGAAGCAAGAACTCACAAGTTTGCTTCTTCTATAGAAAAGTACAGAAATTAGGAGGTGGAGAGGAAAAGGCCCCGAGAAAAGAATGCTATGTAGGTAAACAACTGCCTCTATATTTTACAGTACTGAAAATACCAGCAAAATACACTAATATAGCAAATGTATGTAATTGTAAAGATATACATTCAACGCCACTTACAATGGCTTTCTTCTTTTTCTTTGAAATTTATATTGATTACGTTTCAGATGTCTGACAGAATGCCCATGAACTCATTAGAGTTTTGAGTTACTCTAACTGCTCACCTGATGTAGGTTAAAACAGAATAGGTATAGTAATATTTGTTTCGACCCGAGATATGAAGTTGCTTTCATTTTACACTATTAAGCAGATAGTCTTATTTCAACTGAGTAAAATCACAGGCATTACTTTAGAAAAAAAACATGCAGAACATGGAGTTTCTTGACTTGGTTCCATAAACTTACAAGCATTTCAGGCCCAACAGAAGCAAAAGTTCTTTGCCAATGTTAAATCTGCAAAGCTGATCACCGGCATCCTTCAAGTGTTCCTGTCAAAGCATCAAGGCTGCTGTCTGTGTCTGAAGCCAATGTTTGTTCTGTCGACATGGATGAAATGTCATTGATAGATGATGACTGGGAAGGGCTGGTGTTGCTATTCACTGCTGCATCTGTGCTAAGTAAACCAAGCATAAGAAAATCTGAGGCAAGACATGGCTGGAACCATAGATTTTACGGAACTGTATTCATTGTTCTGGTGAATTTATTGTGGTTTGCTTTATTTATGTGTTTCTATGTTTGATAGTATAGTGTTTACAATGGTGTCCCCCCCCCATCCTTTTGGGATTATTGTGAGCTGCTTTGAACTCAACGCTTGTCGTCGGAAAAGCGGAATACAAATATTGTATCAAATCAAATAAATTGATGATATTTTAGGATTCATAGTATTCTTTCTCCAAACACAAATGGCTTACCGTGGTATTTCTTAAAGGAGTATATATATGCAATATTGCAAGCTTTCCACTCAAGGGCATCAAATATTTTATAGGAAGCAAAAGCCCTGTACTTTTGAACAAATGAAAACATGTAGTCAATATGTTGGGAATGAGAGTGTATACACTTATGAAAATGAAATTTCAGTTTCTTCCTTTGGATATCTTTGAAATCTTTGTTTTCTAAAAAATAGCACCCATTACTCCACAATAGATTGGATCTAGTGTGCCCCTCTATAAATGGAAGTGCCCCTTCCATCTGCAAAAGAGGCAGATCCACTGGAGGTTCCTGCTAGGGAAAAGGCGGACATAGTTTGCAATTCTACGCCACTTCCTATACTGCTCCAGAGGATTCATAACCATCTGGTCAGGGCGAATAAAAATCAATTTCTAAAAATAATAATCCAAAAACTGTAAATTAGAAACAATTAGAAATAAATAATCTAAATACAAATGTGTTGGCCCCCAAATTAATCTCTACATTGAATCACTGCCTCTATCAAATGCACTGAGCAAAAGGGTAAATGAAGAACCTAAGTGATCATTTCTCAAATATGAACATTTGCTTTCTACCTACCAAATGTAGACATTTCATTTTCACTTGATGAAAGCAAACTGCTGTAGTCTGCCTACTAACTACCAAACCTTGCTTTGACTTAACAGTGATGGTCATTTCATGCTTGCTTCCTACTCTGTTTTTGTGAGGCTGGGCTAGGCCAATGTTAAAAGCAGCACTGTGTGCACTTAATTTTCACAACAGACTGTACTTACCTGTAATTTTGCACAGAAAATTAATCTCAAATATTGCTCATAATGTCAGGCCATGGTGAACTAGCTTCCATGAGCAAGAGGAAGCTGGGCTTGCATACTCCCTGCCATCCTTCTGCTCCCACATGGTTGGGAAGCGGATTTCTGTGTGTGTGGCTTTGTTTTTGCCAAGTTTGGTTGCTATTGAAATGAAATCAATATTGCTGCTACTCACACCTGAGTGGGCCTGGCATTGTGTGCAAACATGTGCAATATTTGACATTAATTTACAATCAAGCGATGCATACATTTTATGAAATAAACAAGTAAATAAAGCATTATATGTGAATTGGGCCATTGGATTTGTGCATGAGCCAACCTGCACACAGAATCTTCCAGAGTACTGGTACTTTAGTTGCACTTTCCTGTTCCCTGGACAAGCTTTTTGCTACCAAGCATGTCAGTCAAGATGTGGGGACAGCACCTCACTCTTTCTTTTCATATTTGTAGTCTCTAGAGCAGGGAAAGGCTATGTGACTGTATTGTCTCCTAGAACAGCAGTTACAGGAAAGAGAAATTCTGTTTCCTTTTTTGTGGCCTCTGTGCAGTCCCCTATATGACAACAGTGAGAAGTTCTTACCTGGAGAAGGATGTAGAAATTGTGTCAGCTAAAAATATTCATCAGCGCATCTCCACCAACATCACCCTATTTTGTGGCATCACTGTCTATACTATAGCATAATGCCAGGCAAAAGTCCGAAGAGACTGCCAGGTTGCTATCTTGCCTGCATTCACCATTGATATGAAGAAAACATGTTTGTAAAATTTAAATTTCAAGGTCAAGTAGGTACGAGCCCCTACAGTGTTCCCCATTACATTCCATGGGACCGCAAGCCAAGCCAGACAGTGCATCATTGTTACAGGACTGCCAGACAACTTTAAAATAAAAAGGAGAGGGGTGTTGTTCCCCATAAATTTCCTTTCACAAACCAATGACCTTGCTCCCCTATAGTTCTATGGAATGTGATCCCACCATTTTTGTTTTTCATCATGATGGATCTGCCTGCTGCTGGGAGAGAGAGAGTACGAGTGACACAAATGTCACTCAGAGCAATGAGGAAAGACTTCCTATTCTCTCCTGAAACCTTAAAGCCACAGAGAACACAACGTTCATTCCTCAGTGGTGAGGGATGGTGTGTGATGTAGTCCATTGTCACCTGGAGGGTCAGAGGCTCCTCACCTGTGCTTCAAGGAAATAAGGCATCCCATCCACAGCTCTCAACTTATTCTATCATCTTTCCCCACAAGCTAGAAATTAATATTATAATTCCATGTAGCTCAATTATTTTATTACTACGTGTTTGTGCACATTCTGAAACAGGCTGCACTGGAACAAGAATTTGAACAACATAACTTACTTGGAAACTTCCGTTGTTAATGACAACAGATTTATAACACAGCACAAAGAACTCCTGAAGACAAAAACAGACTATTACATCAATGACTAACCTGAAGGTTGTTCTTTTACCAAACCATTCTTATTCCTTTCTTCCCAATCCATTACTTCTTTATATATTAGTTCTACATTTAAAAGAAATGACAGAGGAAGGAGGAGAGAGAGAGAAGAAAAATTACAAGAGTATTTTTTAAAATCTTGAAACAGCTTCTATTTTCTAGCAGAACACATGCAAACCCCTCCATCTCAAATAACCACCCAGTCATATTTCACTGTAAGAGCATACTTATGTTTAATTTTGTTTATAAAGCATCTATAGATTGCCCTATGACAAAAGGTTCTCAAGTATCATAGCATATAATAAATCATGGTTACCTTTCCATTCTTCAATGGCATGTTCTCTTTCTTCCAACTGTGCATCGTAGATTTGAGGAGGAGGCTACAAAAAAAGGTTCAAAATAAAAGTCTTTGAATTCAATAAAACTTAGATTAATTCCCAAGATGAAATACAAGTGTAAAAAACAATCGTTTATTGAGCTGGGAAGTTCTCATGTGTTATTTCCATTGAAACAAACATAAGCTGCATAAGAGAATGTTTCTGTTTAAAAGGCTCTTTATAAACTTTTCATCAAAGCTAGTTTCTACTGTTATCACATGATTTGCTTTTTTGAATACAAGGATTAGTAAATGCTACAATTAATACGGTAGCAGCCAAACAAAGGAGTTTTAGTCAATCAATCATTGTACGTAGTTGACAAATCAAGTGATCTAGCAATAAAATTTGCACAGGAATATGATCAAGTTTTCAACAGAATAAGCACTTTTTAAACTTTTACTCAATTTTGTCAAATTTTCCAGTAAAACCCCCCACAAAGGAGATCTGTGCTTTTTATTTCACTTAATGAAAAGGCATTATAGCTACCTAGCATGAGTTAACAGGCTTACTTAGTCTCAGCAATATTTCAGTGGCCCTACTTCATCCCTAATATGATCTTAATAGGCTGCTGAATTTTTAGTCACGGAGCTGGTTCTCTCCCTCCCATGGACACTACTATCACAGAACTTCTAAATCCCTTTAGACCGTTTTCCTCCCCTAGGTAAAATTTGGAGCTGCCCATAGGAAACAACAGAGAAGCCCACAATTTTAGCATATATGAGATTAGCAGCAGTATGCCAATCTATACACAAAGAGGTAGCAGCAAAGACAGAAGCTCATGCCCCAACTCAGGTCTTATTTGGAATCATTTTTCTGAACATCCTCCCATTTCAAGCCCAGTGCTTAGCTGCATGCAGAATCCTTGTACTCCATTAACTTTACATGAAAACATTCTGCAGTTCTAAATATTAAGCCCCACCCCCATTTCAAATATACCATATACCATATGGTTTTTCATATCCAAAAAAACCCACCTAGTTAAAGGACGCAGGGACTTCCATATTTCCTGCTACCTTTTCTTTTCTTTGCTAGACAGGCTGATGCCCAGTCACAGTTATCCTAAAATGCAGGTTTTCCTCCCTTTTTTGGGCAGCTCTCATGCTCACCCCAGAAGGGGGAAAAGGGTCTAAAGGAGACTGGATGTTGGCAGCCTCTGCAACCTTTTCAATTACAAGTTTATTCTCCCTCCTGCCTCCTCTACCCTTCTTCTTTTATCCAGTTCTTAAGAATCAAATAAATGCAAATTCTTCACTCTCTCATACTGACTTCTGTCTTCCCACAGAGCTGCAAAATACAGGATGGCTTAAAGATTGGGAAATGGGACTTGGTGGGATTATGGAACTGCACTGCAATTACTGTGGCATATAACATACACAGCATATATAACACTTTTTCTAGTGTAAGGAGAAATCTAAATATGCCCTCAGATTTTCACCAAAGTAAGTAGCACTGCCATAGTGACATCAACCATAAAATTTCTTTTGAATAAACTTTAAAGGTAAACTTACCGCTTCAGCTTCAGCTGGGTCATACCAAACAGTGATATATGGATGACGCAAAGCTTCATCTACCGAAATTCGTTTGTCTGGATCTACTACTAGCATTTTTGATAGTAAATCTCTAGCTTGACCGGCTAGAAAATGGAAAGGGGGTGACCGTTAGCTGAAGATCTGAAGCATGCATAAAAGTAAGGTACAAAATGCATATTCATAACAAGGACATACCATAAGGTATTTTTTAGTCTTGAATATTTTGACAAGAGACAGTAAGGATGTTGGAATTCACTCAATACAAGCGACATGCTTAATGTAAACAGTGGATTAAAAAATCGATAATCTGCATTTAGCTAAGTGACAGACAACAAGAATGTGCTGTTTTATCAACTAGAAAAAAGTATCCACCCCCACCCCAATTACCGTACATTAGAGTATGAATGAAAATGAAAATACAAGAATAATGCACACATGAAATCTTACTTTTTAGTTTGTCCCGATCAGATTCCGATGGAAATATCCAGTCTGGGAACAACTCTTCAAATTTGATACCTGGATATTTTGGCCTATTTTCTACATAGTTCCGCACAGTAGGCTGCAGTTTTTTCATAAAATCTGCGGATGGTGTACCTAGTTGTTCAATAACTTTATTCCACTGGTCAATATCTGCAAAAGTTTCATTTAGGAAAATAAAAGTATTCCCCCTTCCCCCTCAAAAAGCATGTATAGTACAAGAATTAGCTATGTATTTAATTTATTGCATTTATATCCTACCTTTTTCTCCGAAGAGCTCAAAGTGCTATACATGGCTCTTCCCTTCTTCATTTAATCCCCATGACAACTCTGTGAGGTAGGTTAGGCTGAGAGACTGTAACTAGCCCAAGGTCACCCAGTGAGCTTCACAGCTGAGCAGGGATTTGAACCCTGTCCTCCCAGGTCCTAGTCCAACACTCTAAGCACAATCCCACACTGGCTCTTCACAAAAGCTTGTGAAGCATGTTGGGAATGGCTTGAGAGACAAGTTAGATCCAAACTTTGTTGGCATGTTTCTACTCAGGGCTGGTGGAATTTCGAAACGCTTCTGCTTGTCACCTAAGTGGATAACTGCCTAGCAGGTAGTCACAGGATCCTGAAGTTAAGCATTTAAAAGGTACATGGAGACAAAATTTCAGAATCAACTTGAAAGTAGTATCTTCTTCAGTTATGCCCCTCTTCCCTGCACAAAACCGAATCAAAATGTCTCAGTTCCACAGGGTGTTTTGGATTTTTCAACTTACAAAAATGAGGAGTGCTCATTAGGAATTTCAAAAGATATTTTGGTTAAATTAAATTAATATAACTTAGCTGTGTTTGGTAAGTAAAATGTGTGTAGAATTGCACTGAAATCATTAAAAACGATTGCCAAGAACTTGCAGTTATGTTGCTGTTGCTTAGCATTAGCTGACATATTCAGAAGGTAAAATTATAATTCTTTGGTTTTCCGAAAGCAGTTTATGTGCTTCTTCCTCAGATATAGACTTACCAAGCTAAATGTTGTCCAGTCAGAAAAATAATAGCAGATTTGAATTCCTCACACCCAAAAACATACTTTAAAGACCCTTCACTGAAGAAATCTCCAAAAATTAAATTTCAACCCCTAAAATAACATGTCCTACTGGGGCAGCTTCCTCCCCAACAAATATTTATTTCTGGGGAGCTGTACATTTTAACTAGCAAGATCATGCTTTTAATAGTATTTTTAATCCTCAATAACTTTTTCTCCACCGACTTTTATAGAATGGAAGTGTTTGGCAGAATTTCACCCTCTCAATTCCCTGCCCCTTGTTTAAAGAACTCACCAGAATTCAATGGAATAGATGAGTTCTTCCAATATGGTAGAGGACATTACCCACAATATTTTCTGTTTAACCTGAGCGAGCACAGCACTGGAATGACAGTACCAGTCTATGGGGCTATATAAGGCTAGCTATACTCTTTTTGGGAACACCATGTCTTATCATACTTCTGTAGGCTTCATAAAGGCAAATCCAGATGTACGTTTAAACCGAAGACACAGTGAAAAACATATTTAAAATCTCATTATAAGATTCTCTATGTTAGTTACTACAATAGCTTAAATTTAGTATGCTGGCAAAAAAAATCAATTTCATAAATTCTTTAGTAACAATCAATGGATGTCAATTGCAACTACAAGCTTGGCAATTTCAAAGTGTTAAGCCTTGTTTACTAAATGCAAGCAAAATATGCTAAATTAGCTAGCTCTCTAAAGCATCAGGAAAAAAATACTTCTAGCTTGAAGACATATATTACAGTACAGTGCATATTTCCGTAGTTTTCCAAATAAAAAAGCCACATCACTGCTGCCATTAAGGTATCCTTTTAAAGAATCTGTATGTTCTGTACAGATGAACATGCTAATTGCTCAGTTTTTCCTTGCTTGATCAAATGCATTTAGATGGAATTTTGAGACCAAGTACTATAAAAGGTTAAAACATCACATGCTAAATTGCACAAATAAAGACAGCTTCTTGATCTGCATAGATAAATGGATTTTACTAAAGAACTCCACCAATCTAGAGTAAAAAGAACCTTAATTCACTATGCAGTCCTAAAACATGTCTACTCAGAGGTTACTACTACTTAATTAAATAGGATGTACTTTCAGGGACATAAAACTGCAGCCTTAGAAAACTGTGTACAAACCATGTATTTCATTACTGCATTCCAGAATATTTTAAAACAACAATTTTGTGCAGTTTATGCTCTCTGGTGCATTCAGAAGTCTAGTCTACATGAAATAAATCTTTTTGGAATAACTCCGTAGGTGAAAACAATCAAGTTCCACATGGCTGACAAGTGCTTAATCAAAAATAGATATCAAGTGAGGTTTTTTGGGCATCACCATAAATCTTCAACAGCACACACCAGAAGTATCAATAATCACAATCCAAATTACTAAAATGTGCCTCTCATCTAGGAACGAAGAGGCCACATGCAAATATAATGATTAGATAGTGCTTGCTAGTAGAAATTAATGAGGAAGTCCCTTTAAATGTGGCCTTCTATAAGGTCCCTCGAGTTGTTAAACTGCAGCAAATGAAATTTAAAATGGAAGAAACCATTCTCATCCCTCACACTCCTTCAGAATCCCAAATTGGAGCTGCATGGTCCTAATAATTATTAAAAAGGATGTGCATAAGGTACTACAGATAGCTTGGTGTGCCTAAGATCTATACTGTATACTGCAAACAGAGAACACCGTAGTCTTTTTAATATCCCAAAGCACTGAGGAGAAACTTGCACATACCGTACGATCTTCTGGAAGAAAAGTGTTTGACAATACATTGTGTGTGTGTGTGTGAGAGAGAGAGAGAGAGAGAGAGAGGAGAGAGAGAACATTCACTTGCTAACAACTGTGACAAAACAACTGGCTGGTTATTTTTAAGCAAGATTCAAGTAGTAAGGTTCTCCCCCACTTTCTTCTAGGTCACCCGACTGCAAACCCAAATTATAAACTAACAACCAAATGCTTATTTCAATAGGGACAATAGCCATTTACATGGCTTCCATGTAAATCACAAAGATGGAAAACAATATGGGTATAAAGAGGGAAAGAAAGCATTAGGATGTCAACACTAAGACCCTTCTCAACTCTCTGCTCAGTCATGAAAAGCACCAGTATCTCTTGAAATATATTAAATTATGTGTTTTCTGAAGAGACTGAGATTGCACCTGAGATTGACTTTCGAGTTAACAACACTTTTAACCAATAATATAAAGTAATGATCAGAGAAACAGATACTAGATTGGTGGAGCTCAAACAAGTAAGATGCATTTTCTGCACAGAAATTTGTTAAGCATGAAACACAGATATATGAAGACAGCAAATATGAAAACTAGTGTTAACATGCAACTTAAAAGAGACACAGCATACATGAAGAATTGTGTTAGGTTGGTCATAAGGCTTTAGAGAATAAAATAATATATGGGAGAAAATTGAGAAAATGAAAATTCAAGCTTCTTCTATTTAATTGTGTTATTAGGTTAACACATGATCAACCGTTAAAATCTCATGAAATTAAGCATTCGGAATTATATTTTTCTAACCTGCATGCCTTCACTATCCTTTTGAAGAGAACAGGATAAGATAAGAACTGACAAGACAAAACCACTGTTGTGAGGCTATTTTCATTGTGCAGAGAAATGCAAAAAAAGAGAAAACAATAAATTTTGAGCAATAATTTTGTGGAATTTTCAGTTTAAACAGTGCCAATAACATCAGGGAAATTTGCAGCACCATTAAAACTGCAAAAAATGAAATTCCAAACAAGAATGATTAATGTTCAAACACCAAAGTTAAAAGAAGAGAATAAAAGTTTAAGTGCTTGGTTAATATCACAAATTCTGAACATGCGTGGCAGATCCATTCAGTAAAAAGATGAGGGCAGGGGATTAGCATATTTTTCATCCATAAGTGAGTGAAATAACTCTTTGGTAAATGTGGATTAAGATTCAAAATTATTAGGGAAGGATACGATCAGTGCCTTGGAATATCACACAACCTTTCACCAATTCTCCCATGATGCAACCAACTGACCAGATATCAACTGAAAGTAAAAGTGAAATGACAAAATTATGAAGTGTCGTGAACTAAAGTGGAAAACAAAAACATTTTTACATTAAAAACACAACAATGCAAAAAAAAATGAAACTGCTAACGTGTTGTTGAACAACATGGACAAGAACATTTAATCTAAATGCAAATTTTAACTTTTGACGAAGAAACATTTTGCATTAAAAAATATAACGCCACCATATTATGGCAGGTCTAGCAATTCCTCAAAAATCGCTTCAGTCTTATTTTCAACTGTTCACATTTGTGGTCCATGAAAGTCTTATAAAGGATACAATCTCTTCCTGGAAACAGGACCTTATGGAGGACCATTTCTGCCATTATGCACCCAACAGACCAGATATCCACTATTAAATGTTAGGTGTAATAGGGACAAAAGTTACAAATCTACAAACACATTTTCAGTACACACTAAACATTCATGGCAGCTATTCAGAATAACCCAAACAAAAAATTCACCACAGACTATTTTATACAGTATTCTTTAAACTGAAATAATAGCCAGCTAGTCCTTGGTTTGAAAAGAGTGTTAAACAGAACTAGCGTTTCCTAGATTGAGGTCCTTACATATGCATAGTCTCCTTCCTGACTGCGTATTTTTTAGTAAAACCTCCATAAGCCTTTGGAGTTTAATTTTTATAGTGGAATATCTGGGAGGCAACATTAAAAGGGAGCTTACACATTACACAATTCTGCTCTACCAAGAGAAAAACTCAGCACCATGCACCATTGCCTTTTATTGCTGTATTGGCAACCTGGAGAATCAGTTTAGTTAACTCTGCTACTGTAGCCAGTGAGTTAGGAGATGAGGTGATCTCCACAGCTTTATCAACATACTGTATACTGAGAGGTGGTGTTGGATGAAGGAGGCTGACTGGCCAGCAGCGCCTCTCTTCAGAGACCCTCTCCCTAAGAGGATGCTTAGTGCTGGTGGTGGCTGAGTGGTGCCTCACTACCTCACTAGCTGCATCTCTCTTTGCATAGGGAGATTTTAAAAGATAAGAAGGTAAAACTAGTTCTTTAGGCTGTGAAAATTTGGCAGCACTGCCTCAGGCAATTACCCCATGATGCTTGATGGTGGAAAGCCTACACAGTTCTCAAATGATAAGAATATATTCAAGAAGCAGAAAAATCTAACAACTGGTCAAGTACCCAACAAGACGTAATTCTGTTCTGCAACTTACCATTCTCTTTGTATCCCATGCCAAGAATAACCTCTGGTGCTCTGTAATATCGTGTTACTACATATGGGGTCATCATGAAATTAGTACATGCCGTCCTTGCAAGTCCAAAGTCAAGGATTTTGAGAGTACAATCTGATTTTACTACTATATTGCTGGGTTTTAAATCCTAAGAAAAAATACATTCAATTAAATGTTTAAAAATATATAGGGTGGTGCTGTGTTTGGGGTGGGGGAGAATCTGCATGATTAAGAGTTTCTGGGATGAGGAGTCTTGGTACCTTCCCCCTCCCCCCCGTTAACACATTGGGGCTGGAAAAGACTCCAGAGAGAAATTCATCTACTATTGGAAGGAGGGAATAACTAAGTTTGTGGGAGCTCTATCCTTAGCTCTTGCCCCACCCAACAGTTGGCTGCTGTTTGATAGGACAGGAGAGGTCACCAATTTCTGCCAATTACACACACAGAAACATATGACAGGGGTGGCCAACCTGGCATCCGCAAGCAGTGGGCCCAAACTTTTGAGTTTCCTCAGAATAAAATAAAAAGTAAGTCTTTCACACTCCTAGAAAGTTACGAAGCAAAGTAAGGAGGTACCATCTAAGTGATTTCTGTGAAATGAGCCAGCCTAGCTACTCCCGTCAGTCAGTGTTTCAGTCAACCATAAGGAGCTGTTGCTTTCCCCCCTCCTGCTTTTGTCTTGTTTTCTAGTCTTTGGAATGTCCATAGTTTGTCCTTCCTTTTTCACTAGGAACCAGGATGCATCTTTCCTGTGGTGGGATCATCTGAGATTAGCAGTCCCTAGAAGTTGTTTTAATGCAAGTAATGCTACACAATAAGGTAAAGGTAAAGGTACCCCTGCCCGTTCAGGCCAGTCTTGCCAGACTCTAGGGTTGTGCGCTCATCTCACTCTATAGGCCGGGAGCCAGCGCTGTCCGCAGACACTTCTGGGTCACGTGGCCAGTGTGACAAGCTGCATCTGGCGAGCCAGCGCAGCACACGGAAACGCTGTTTACCTTCCCGCTGGTAAGCAGTCCCTATTTATCTACTTGCACCCAGGGGTGCTTTCGAACTGCTAGGTTGGCAGGCGCTGGGACCGAATGACGGGAGCGCTCCCCGCCGCGGGGATTCGAACTTCCGACCATGCGATCGGCAAGTCCTAGGCACTGAGGTTTTACCCACAGCGCCACCCGCGTCCCCATACTACACAATATATATGAGTAAATATTAAAGAATCCCTCCTTGCCCCCAAAAAGGCAAGTGTGGAAGCTTTGCTAATGGGTATAGGCTCCTGCTGTGCAGAAGCTGATGTCCAGCCACTCATTAAGAATTCACCGTATAGTTATAGTACAACTGTTTACATGGCTACTCAGAGCTGGGTTTCTCTGTGTTTAATGAGCCTTACTCCTAGCTAGGTGGGCACAGGATGACAACCTAGGCTTTTCAGCAAGGGCAACAAGCTAAAGTAGAAAGGGAGGAGTGGAAACCCAACAGTTCTGGGCACTGAGCGACAAATCCGGTTAAGCTTCAGAATTCACGACCACAGGATATCGTTTATTTCCCTCTTGTATGAGAATATAAAAGGGACTGATCGAACATGGCAAGTCCTAATTGTCATGTCATTATAAAAAAAACAACTTTCAAATATAGCTGAATATTCTTAATGAGGTTAATTAATGAAAGTCAGTTATTGATACAATTGTAATAGCACTACGTACTCTATGGATGATACCAGCTGAATGGAGATGTTTGATACCACACAGCATCTGGTACAAAAGGTAGGACATTCTTTCATGATCCAACTCCATATGAATTACTTGGCACAAGTTAGCATCCATTAGTTCCATAACTAAATACCTGAAACATTTAAAAAAAGTATTTTTTACAGGAGCAAACGTTGACTACAGCTTGCGGTTGGCAATGAGAGATCGAACCACAAGCTCAGGTACAGACAACAAACTAAGCCAGACCTTAACTTAGCTCAACATGGGTGAGAGCATAAAAAAGACATGGGTGGTCTAGGAGCCCACAAGTTTGCACAGTCCCAGTAAGTCATAGCTTAACATCTTGTGGGAATGCAAAATGGAAATTACAGTGGACGCAATTATACAATTTTGGTTTCTTAGCAGAAATATTTTTTAGCAATCCAGACTCAAATAATCTATTATTTTATTACTTTGGGTACAAATCTCCCACTGAAGTTAACTGGCAAAACTTCAACTGACATTAGTTCACATCTCAGTCAGGATACTGGCTTGACTGCTCTTCCGGCAAAGGAAAATAAACAAAGCAACTCCCTCTCCCCAATGTCAGTTATGTGGCCAGTAAAATTTATTTATTTTTTATTTTATTTATTTTATTTGGATACCTTCCTTTATCCGAAGATCACAGGGCGGTTCACAACATAAAAATACAAAATGAGAACACATAATAAAACAAAACAATAACAATAACCCATCTCCTAATGATGAAATGAACACTTGGGGGGAGTGTCATGTTTTGTTCATAAGTCTCAATGCTTACAAGAAGGCTTCAGCATTTTTCTCCAAAAAGCACAATATATTTTAAAAATCATTTATAGGCCAACTGCTTCCAGGTCTTAAATGGATATTTATCAAGAAAACACAATAAAGTAAACTCACACATCTTGAAATTCTTCTAGTGACTTCTGTGGTGTGAATACATTTAATAGACTAATTATCTGTAAAACCAAAATAAAAGAATTATAATCACCATCACAATGATTTGCAAAAAAAATCAAACAGTACATGGCAATGTCAGCATACAGATCAGATTATTTAATAACTTTTTACCTGAAGCTTTGTAGCAAGAAAAATGAGATTAACATAGTGATTCACAAATATTTTAGAACTAACTCACTATCCTCAGTTTGCATAATGCTATTTTTTTTGTCAAGTTCCATAAGGGACAGTCAATATTTCAACATAAATGAAATAAATCAAGTATATTTGTTTAATGGATTGAATAGCTTTATTTATAATAAATCCATGGATAAATTAATAACCCGAGTTTTGAAGTATGACAATTCTTAGATTATGGGAGTAGCACAGTTGCATCTCAGTGATATATTATTTTGCTAGAAGGCCTAGAAAATACATTTCCACATTGCCTGTTCAAATATTCAGTGGAAAGAGATCAATACCCTATTGATAAGGGTTTTTTTTACTGCTTTTTGAAGAAAAACATAATGGTTACTAAGAAGTATACATGCTACTAAATATACATTATAAGCCTGCTAATAATAATAGAATCGTAGAATTGGAAGGCACGAGGGTCATTTTAATGGTCATAAAGAGAAACATACTGGACTGTTTTTTAATACATTTCTAGAAATATTGGTTGCCAATCTGTGGTGTAAGCCATAGATCATTCCTATCTGAGGAACTGTTACCTAAAGCCAACCACAGACAACAAAAAGACCACAAAGAGACCTGCATGAAAAAACCCAAATTTAGTTAGCTTTTCAAAGAAATATGACAAACTATGAATAACTAGTCTTCTGTATTGCAATTAGGAAATAGTCCTAAAACAACTACAGTGTTTCATTACAGGAGGTACAGGACAGAGCAAAAATTGATCTCTCTCTCAATTATTTAATTATTTGAATCACATTATAATGGCTTTAGTTCCAGTTGATTCATCTGACATTCATTCAATTATTATTTTACATTTACTTGTTTCTAATATAAATTAACATTACTCACATTTTTGTGATTGACACATTTTAGAAGCACAAGTTCCCTGTAAGCTCGTTTTGCATGTGTTTGGTTCTGAAAAGGGCGACTCAATTTCTTTACAGCAACATTTATTCCAAGAACTGTATCAAATGCAGCACTGAAAAGTTAAAACAGAAACATCTTAATTGCATCTTTTTAAAATCAGAGCCATGGGTGTCAGGGTATATGACAGACAAGCTCAGTTACCCCAAGGAAACTGCTTCTTGTTTTAGGTGAAGGGCAAAGTGCACAAATGAAAACCCTCTCGAGTTCTACTTTATTCAACCAAAAATAAATCAGATCTCATTATTAGTCTAATTTTAACACCTCCATGCATGAAGCATTTCATCCTGTTCCATTAGTCAAAGTATAGTTAGAAATTTCTTAAAAGTCAGATGCATTTATATCTCAGTCAAAAACTAAGAGACAATTCTTCTCTAGAACAGGTGTTAAGATTACATAATTTCTTTAATCAACTTGTTGTTTTATTTGAGCTCTTATTCTGACACAGGACTTTTTAAAGGTTCTGTTCATTTTCAACTTCATCACGGAATAGCACTGTACTTCAAAATAATGTTTGGATTCTGTTGTTTCTATGTATGTGTGGAATTAAGGTATGTGCCATGAGATGTCAAGCAAATAAAAAACTACCTCACTTTCAGAAGACATCTGAAGGCACGCCTATATAAAGAAGATTTTAATGTTTAATGTTTTACTGTGTTTTATATTTTAATTTGCTGGAAGCCACCCAGAGTGGCTGGAGCAACCCAGTCAGATGCGCGGCTAATAATAATAATAATACTTTGTTTTGAGTTCTTGATCAAAATTTTGGTGATATTACAGTTTGATGCTTATCCTAGTTTTGTCCAATAAGTAGCTACTCACCATACAATGCCTTGAGCCCCAGAGCCAATAGGTTTCAATTGTTGGTAACGTTTTAGTACAGTGAATGTCGAGTCTGAGACTTGAACACTGTAAAACTGACTGTCACATTTACTCTCGCTCATGATGTAGTGTCATGTAGTTTTCCTCCCAGGATTTGGCAGTTTTCAAGATCTGTAGAAAGAGAACCAAAAAAAGTGAAACTTTTTATAAATATGTACCCAAAGCTGCCAACAGCATTTCTCTTTAGAAATTAGACAACCACTAAGAGAACAAAGCACGACGTGCATTTAGATGACTAACGTAAGAGACTTGACTAGCATAATGGATGATCCAAAAGTGATTTTAGCAGAATGACTGTTCAGTGCAATGCTATCTTAGCGGAGATAGCATTTCCTGTGCACACATGTCGTATTCTGTGTGGGTTTCCTGCCCTGTCCCAAGTAACAGGCAACAATAGGCAAGTGGCTGCCCCATGGAGTCCAGAAGTCTACCTCTTCTCCTTTTGGCACAGCACCATTCTTTTCCAGTCAGTTCCATGGGTAGAATGTCTTCAAGTGCCTTGGAACAGAGGAAGAAGCATTCTGTTCCATTTCTTATCTATAATCTTCTAGCAGTGGTGGCACACCAGATAGAGAAGGGTGCCTTTTCAAACATAGGAGGCTTTCTTACTCCTTCCGATGGCAATGATGAAGTAGGAGGAGACAACAGGGTGTTGTGTGTTGGCGCTGAAAAAGCTCCAGTTAAGCCGTTTAAGCTCACTGCAGAAAACAGCCATTTAGGAGAGTTGTTTTTATTAGGCTAATACTGACATACACCACTATACGAACACACACTATTTACAAACATTACAAGTAGCATTCTCTCTCTCAGCCCAGAGAGGGTTCTTTGCTTCAAAGTCCTTGTTGTGTTAAAAGTCCACAGTCAAGTCCTAAGGTCAGTTGCTTTCAAAGTCCTGCAGCTGATTAGACAGGCACCCCAAACTCAGCCCTCCAGCTGTTTTAGGACTACAACTCCCATCATCCCTAGTAGTCCCAAAACAGCTGGAGGGCGGAGTTTGGGGATGCCTGTGATAAGAGTTCTCTAACTTCTGAAGTCCACCAATTTTCCAACTTCTTCCTCAGACGATCTTTTCAAAAAGTTTTCACTTGAATCCACAGTTCCAACAGATAGCCTTCAGCAATTCTCCTACCATGACCCACACAGTATACTGTAACCTTGAGCCCTTTTATACACAAAGTCACTTGCCAAATCTGCCCACTAGCACAGATAAGAGAGTCACAAGATGCCTGCAGGTGCATGGTGGGGAATGAGTTATCTCTGCTGATTCATAGAGAATTAACCCATTAACATTAATCCTTAACATTTTGCCCCCCCTAAGGAAGAACTGGAGCAACCGATGACCCTCATACACCAAAGCTGTCCAAGACAGCAAATACACTGCTAAGTTTATGTCACTGTCTGTCCTCTCTTTCTTTGTTTATGTGTGTGTTGCCTATCCCCGCTTCACTTATGTTCAGTACAGTGGTACCTCGGGTTAAGTACTTAATTCGTTCCGGAGGTCCGTTCTTAACCTGAAACTGTTCTTAACCTGAAGCACCACTTTAGCTAATGGGGCCTCCTGCTGCCGCCACGCCGCCGGAGCACAATTTCTGTTCTCATCCTAAAGCAAAGTTCTTAACCCGAGGTACTATTTCTGGGTTAGCGGAGTCTGTAACCTGAAGCGTATGTAACCTGAAGTGTATGTAACCTGAGGTACCACTGTACTTATTTCAGAGAATTGTAAAGTTTGAAGGAATCCCAAGGGTCATCAAGTCCAACTCCCTGAACGAAGTCTATTCCTCCTCCTTCTGAGTTTGTGTGTCCTGCGTGAGTGTGCATGCATGTGCAAGCTTGTGTGCATGAGTTAAATTGGCTCAGGTTGGCATATAGCCCTCAAAAGAGCCGCAAACCAATGTCAGCCACCTCTGCTATCAAGTTGTACATTTTTTGAATGAAATTCTTAACCCACAATTCTTCAGTTTTGAACGCACGTATCTGAGAGTATAAGGCCCATTTAATTTAATGGGACTTACTTTTCAGTAAATATGTTAAGTCAAACAATGTCATGTATGATGTTTGTTTGCACTCCTACATTATTATTACCAATGGTCCCAAATCCAGATACATTTTTGTGCAGAAGACTAAGAAGATGATCAGCACAGTCAGTTCAGGCAGGACTGATCTGTTTGCCAGTGCTTTCATGTTGTAAGAGATGCGTGAACACACATCTTCCTTCCCACACCCTGTTTCAGATGCAGGAGGTAGAGATTTTTGCTTCCACAGCAGTTGTTTTGTACTCCTTGGTGGGACGTTTGGTGAGCAGAAAATGTTTGAACTCCTAGATTGTGCTTGCTGGAATATGACAAATATTGTAAAATACTAATAAGTATCTGTGTGGGGAGGAGAGAATTAGGTTACAGCACTAGAATAAAACAAAAAAGAAGTTATCCTCAGCCAAACAGACTGTTTTGTTTGGATCACTCTGCCAACTACAGAAATTTCACTGCCTGCTAGGGGAATGTGCAGCAAAATTTCAAAACAAATCCAGGCAGCAGGAGCTTTAAACGGCTTTTAAAAATAAGATGACAAGCTATATCTAATGTTAATGTGAATTACACGAGAGACTGCATTTATGTGAACAAACATCTCAAGAAACTTGACAGTGTTTCAAGTTAATTATATATCCACAACATGCATAATACAGAAGGACTGGAAAATAAAATTAATTGCAGAAGCTGGTGAACACTACCAGACTATACTATGCCAAAACAATGTTTTAAGTTGGCAATAAGGCCTAGATGACTTCAAGAAACCTGCCCAACAGTATACCACCTCAAAATACTCCTGTCATATCTGAATTTCATGGAAATATTTGTGTTAAACTTTCCTTCTTTAGCCTTTCTGGTCCCATTATCATCATCATCATCATCACTTCTTCCCCTTCCTCCACCAATATGTTGATATTATGTGAAGTATCATTAATATGAACTGGATTCAACGCACTATTCAAGAAAAGTTATAGGGTACGGAGAAAAAAAGAACATGCAACGAAGTACCAGTAACTCACATTTCCAAATGATTATACGTTTGCAACTGGTTCACACATAGCAAACCATGGTATGGTTATCAAGTCAAAGCCAGCTATAGTTTGCTGCAACATCCAAATTGGCAGGTTATGGATTGTGCTTGCCCTCCAATGCAGAATTGGTGGGTTTAAAGTTCTGGTGTGGAAGGAAAGACAAACCACAGTTAGCATAGTTGGATCTGCAGGTAAACTGCGGTTTGCCTGAAAAAGAAAGTAAGAAAGGAATAGGAGATTGAAACTTCAAAATTTTAATCTGATGCCAAATCAGCCTCTCTTATAAATCATTAATACATATGACCAAAATTTTTGGTAAATTTGATTAGTGTTTATTAAATATTACATTTCTGTAAGTAGCAGAGCTTTAATCTAATATAGTATAAGCTTTTTTTTTAATATAGTATAAGCTTTGGCTTATACTATAGTAAAGTAACCAAAATGGAAAATATTTACAAGTTTAATAAAAAAAACACAGCCTCACTAAAGAGTTTAGATTACATTTCACTATTTATTCAAAATACACTTTAAACAAGTAAAACCTCTCTGTTGAAATGTTCAAAATCGTTTTATTACATTCCACTACAGAACTGGAAAAATGTATTTTTGACAGTGATATACACTTAGTTTCCATTGCCAGGCATAGATACCAATAAGCCAGTTTCTGAGTGTTTACATCTGTGTGCATAATACACACATATATATACCCTAGCCAACATAGATGTTTCTCTGTTCAGAACTGGGCACATTCAGTAAAAGCAAGTCCTTTCATGTCTAGGTGTAAAAAGTAAAACATAACCTCCAATCTTCAGGTGGGCAACATATGGTCTGTGAGCCACACAAAGCACACCAAGTTCAAAGAAAAAGGTTGCTCAAAGCCAAACAAGTGTATTTCAGCTCTCCTTCAGACGATAGATGCTTACTAGAAGCAGCTGAATATATTGGAGGCAGGGCATCAGCTTCAAAAATGTCGGGTGACAAGGCTCACACTGCTTTTGAAATTGCAGCCCATATGTCTTTAAAAAAATCCCATTAAGTACCCTAAGAACCAAAACATTTTTGTATATATAAGCCTACTCAGACATATATGCTTTAATCTGTTTTTAGTTTATTACTGTTTTATTTTTTGAAAGTTTTAAAGTTGTTTTTTATTGCTTTTATTGATAATTATATTGCTTTATTCTCTTCATAAACTGCTTTGAGGGGTTTTTTTAAACACTCAGGTTGTGCATAAATTTTATGAATTACATTAAATCAGTTAATCAATCTTGCAGAATACCTGTGTGGCCCAGGCTTCAGCATGCTATAGATATTTTCCCCTTCAAACCATTGCAAAGTTGCTTTAAAATCACTACATACACTAGGTAGCAATAGCATGAATGCAGGATTGAAATTATTGTACTGTAACTGTACTGTATTGTAACTTCTGAATAAATGTTTTTTAATTAAAGTGGGGAAGTGGAGGTTGCCACTTGGATAAGGACAATACCATGTGGAGATGCAAAGAACTTGCACACATGGGGTGCATCTAATCCACTTTAAACTGCAGTGTTTACATAGCCTAGCTGTGCTATTTGCCAAGCCAGGCAAATATACTAGACCTGGATACTGATTTCTTTTTCCTTCCCCCCCCCTCCTTCTCCAGAGTCAGGTGGGATGAGGATGGAGAACAACAACAAATAATAAATTCAAGATTCAAAATTCAAAAAGAGGATCAATTAATCCAACCCCATTCATTAAAAACCTCACCCACATAAAGGTAAAGGTAAAGGTAAAGGCACCCCTGACCATTAGGTCCAGTCGTGACCGACTCTGGGGTTACGCGCTCATCTCGCTTTATTGGCCGAGGGAGCCGGTGTACAGCTTCCGAGTCATGTGGCCAGCATGACTAAGCCGCTTCTGGCGAACCAGAGCAGTGCGCGGAAACGCCATTTACCTTCCGCTGGAGCAGTACCTATTTATCTACTTGCACTTTGACGTGCTTTTGAACTGCTAGGTTGGCAGGAGCAGGGACCGAGCAATGGGAGCTCACCCCGTCGCGGGGATTTGAACCACTGACCTTCTGATCGGCAAGTCCTAGGCTCTGTGGTTTAACCCACAGCGCCACCCGCGTCCCACATAATGACTGACTATTCCCTCTCTGGTAGGAAAGAAAGAGTACTAGTCCGTGCTCAGTCTCTGCAGTAATGATATGGAGGCTACCTGCCACACCTAGTCTTAAATTCTAGCTCCAAGGGAAAGAAAGAGAACAGCTGCCACTAACACCACACTGTAGAGAAGCATCACAATATTGAGGACAGCTGGCTCTCCTGGCTACTCCCTATATTCCAGGAATTGGGGAAGAGTGTTCACTTTGTGTAACAGAACCTTTCCTCGGAACTGAGGGAGTGTCCTTAAATCTGGGATTAATAAAACTCCCATAAAAATCACTGATTTTTATGCATGGACTTGTAAAGCACTGTACAATAGATATAACAGAATTTGCTTAAATTAGCTGTCAACATATTGTTACACTGAGGTCTCAGGAGGTATAAAAACTTTGAAGTCCCCATTTTATTTACGTTACTTGTTTCTAACATTTGTAGACCATTTTTCACCATACAAACTCACAAAGCAGTTTATACAGCAATAAATAAAAACACCTACCTGGCATTCAGCAATAGCACTTCAAGCTGGGAGGGTTGGCATGACTACCTAGGTTCTATTGACAGGTAAGTGTGTGTGGTCAAGTGCCTGCTGCCTACTTTCCCTAACATCATCCCTCCCCCGGTGTATTCCAGGGAGTCAATATTACCCTGCCTGGGATTCTGTTGATCCCTTCTCTCCGCAATACAGTCAGCCAGGCACATATCTAACATTCCTTATCTGCTCTGGATCACCAAAAGAGTCACACAAACTGCTAATGCAAAAAAGAGTGTCAATTAAAAAGTACAACTAATAGGCACAGTGGAATATAAAATGACAACTGCTACCAAAGGTTCTCATTAGAATTTCGCTGCAGAATACGTGCAATATAGAATAGAAAAGACATACAAAAAAGCTCACTAAATACAGAGCCAGTGCAAAAACTGGGCATTATAATTTAAATAGTCAGATCTTAGTGGTGTGCCCTACACACACACACCAGTACAACCAGCAGCAATAAACACTCATAACACTTTCAACCCAGTGCCAGCATCTTACCCACACATTATTTGCTGCCTACTTAACTGGAAGTTACAGCACACACTGGCAGTTACCAAAGGCTATGCTTTGGTAGTAACCTGGGGATAATCTCAAGCTTTTACAAAGCTGCACCAGTCTTCATATTAACTGTATACTTAAAGCTGGAATCCTATTTTGCCCATTAATAAATCCCATTGGGGCTTAATTCTGAGTCTAGGGATTTATCCAGACTTCTTTATTATCTTCAAGGGCTAGGTATCTGCAAGCAGGATGGAACACCACTGTTTTAAGCATAGATTCCACTGTAGAAGACCACCAAGTTAAACAAACTGGTGAAGGAAAGAGAAAGAGGAATCTCATTTATGCACATTACAAAGTACTTCCCCTTTGCTGGGGTGGTCATTCAGTCTCTGCAACTGTTGTTCAACCCTTCTCTGATGAAGATTTGGCCAAAAGGCCAACAGATGCATTGTACTTTATCAAACACGGAATATTTACAAAATGGTGGCATAGTTATCATAAACAGTGTGTCTGATATTAAGTTTTCTGGGCTGTTCCATTTGCAGTGGTTAGCAAGTCTTGCTTTGATGTAGCACTGAACTTCTGAGGTGCCCAGAACACCTACAAAATACAGCCCACGACAAGGAACAAACCCCAGCCCCCAGATCCAAGTTCAGGAGGGGGCTGGAACTCACCATGTTGTGCTTCCAAGGTGTTTGGAGAGCCCCAAAACACAGAACAATACAAATGAGGCTCAACAGTCCCCTCAAACTTGGAGCTGGATGCAGGAGAGATAATATTCACATTATGTCTCCAAAGCATGCTGCAACTGTAGGGACAGTTCCCCACCTCCCCAGCTCCAAGCTCAGGAGGAAGAGTTTGTCACATCAGTCAGAGGTGGCATGGACACTCACCCCTGATCATTCCAAGCTGCAGAAGCAGACAAAAATGACTAAAAGCACTTCATCCTGCACAAAGAAAACTAGCACATCAAGGAGAAGACTAGAGTTGAACACTTCTCACCAAATCTAGTTTTCTATGTGATGGTAACATTTTGACATGGAAAATCATTCATCCACCAGCTGACTGAGACAGAATACTGCCCAAAACCATACTTGCCACCTTATCTTTTCTTTTCCTCCATCTGTTAATAGGTGGGCCCAAAATGTCTCATGCATGTCAAAGTAATTTCTGCGGGAGGAATTCAATGCCTTCCTCTTCCGATCCTTCCATCAGCACAAGCCTTTCTGCTTGCCAGAACAACAACCCCCCTCTCCTCCACCCACCCACAGTTCAAAGGGGGGGGGTGTTCCTGACCCTACAGAACAAATTTGCGGTTAGTGTGCCAGTAGGACATCAGGTTAGTTGAATTTGGCCCTAGTGTCTAAAACTGACATAGGCAGCTGTAGAAGTACTGAGAAAGAATCTGATAGCATATGGGGAGATTATAAGAGTGAAAAAACAGATCTTTTAAAAGTGAAACTTGTCATTCTTTCTTGTCTAGCTACCACAGGCAAGCAGAATTTTCATGCAGGCATGGGCAGAGAATTTCATACAGGGAGGTAAGCAAAAGAGAGAAGGGTCACTCCATCCTTCCTCCTTCTCCAGCTCACCTTGTTTTCTTCTGGCTACCAAGGAATGCAAGTCCTTTCACCTTGCCCAGCACAGAGACCTGGCAAAGGAAGTGTTGAGAGTCCTCCTTCTCCTCTGCCGGTCCACCTGATAGAAGCCTTTTTCTTTTTCTAATAGCCTCTTAGTAAAACAGGATTTCTGGCTAGCTGCTTTTCTGGTCTTATATAGGCATTTTCTGTGTGCTGAAGTAGGTTCTAGTGAACAAAAGTTTGTATCATACAAATATTAGTCTTAAAGGTGGCACAATACTCTTATTTTTTCTTTTGTTTTCCTTCCTCATTCTCCCCTCTCCCTCCATTTACTCTGTTGTAACTTCCTGTACATATTTGAAGGCCTTTTCTGTTATCTAGAATAATTAAATGCAACAAATATATATCGTACCATTTCCCTATTCAGGCATTATTGCTCCTGCATTGAGCATTACAGGAATGGGGGTGCATCAAGTAGCTTCACCTGCTACCATCTATGCAAACAGAACAACTATCTATATCAACACAGCTTTCACACATATAGCTGTAGGTACAAAGAGTCTTTCATTTGATGACTGAGGAAATACTAGGGTATTGGGCACCTTGATGCATCCCTGCAATAACACTAAAAGGGCTTATATTGCGGGGGAAATAAAAACTCATAATGCAACTGAAATTTTCTGAAGTGAATTAGATTTTAGATAGTTCAAAAATTAACTTTAGTCACTGTAAAATGTTTTGCACATGATGAAAATCTGCACATAGGGGCTCCCAATATTACCCAATTCAGATTTATTTAATGCACATTGTCAGTGTGGCTAGGAAATTGGATAGCAACACTTTCCAAAAAAATATTTAAATGCCTGAATAAATCTGATTTACTGTATATATGCTCCAGTTTAGAATTCATCAGTTTAATTCTACTACTCCCTGAAACATGATGTACATTTTGTCTTCATAACTGCATGTACAGAAAAAGAGTGTGGTTATTTGCCACAGATATATTAGCAGTTCCATAGGCTGTGGTTTTACATGTACTCTAAAGTAAGGGCTACCTTATTAATTATGTTTCGCTTAGATGAAATTGACTTCTGTCTGTAGGAATAACATGCAACCCATTTATAAATTATCATTTGTAATTTTGCCGTGATTAATATACTGGAAAGCAACAACACAAAATATTATTATCCATGTTCAGTACAGTGGTATCTCGGGTTACAAACACCTTGGCTTACAAACACTTCAGGTTACAGACTCTGCTAACCGGGAAGTAGTACCTCGGGTTAAGAACTTTACCTCAGGATGAGAACAGAAATCACGCGGCGGCAGTGGGAGGTTCCATTAGCTAAAGTGGTACCTCAGGTTAAGAATGGTTCCAGGTTAAGAACGGACCTCCAGAACAAATTAAGTTCGTAACCAGAGGTACCACTGTACTTGTGTATAAACATAACTTACAAAGTGGCTCTAAACTAAACATTAACAAACAAAATGGCTTCAATCCTATGCACACTTCAGTGTAATTCTCAGTGAACTCAGTGGGACTTCTGAGTGAACTTGCATAAGACAGAGTTGCACATCTCATAGTTCTTAGAAAAATTTCATCAAATGAAGCTAAATGTTGGGAAAGTCAAAACAGAAAAGCAATGAATTGATCTGGTACAAATGCCACACTATGCTAATCTATGGCTTAGCATGAATTACAGCCACTTTGCCCCTCTCTAGTCAATCTGCTGCTATGTTGAGTTAAAGTATGGCTTGGCTTAGTGTGTCATGTGAACCTAGGCTCATGCTTTAGTTCTCTGCACACTAACCATGAGCAGTAACCAATGTTTGTCCTGCGATTAACAGCTCAAGATTTGATTGGGAGAGCTAAACCATGAGTCTGGAGGATGACCAAGGCTTAGCTTAGCACAGCAGTTGAATGACCAGTGAGGAATACAGCAGCTTCAATCTCCTCTTTAAAAGTCTGCACACTCACACATTTGTGCTAAGCAATGATTTTGCTTAGGGTGATGTACAAACAGGATAGCACATAGTTAAACTGTGGGAAATGTTATCACAAGATGTAGTGATGGCCATCAATTTGGATGGCTTTAAGAAGTATTTAGACAAATTCAGGGAGGTGAGCAACGGCTCCTAGATATGATCATGACATTACCTCCAGTATCAGAGGCAGTATGCCTCTGAATATCTTTTGTTTGGGGTCACAAGTAAGAGAGTGCTAATGTGCTCATATCCTTCTTGTAAGCTTCTCATAGGCATCTGGTTGACTTCTGGGAGAATAAAATGCTGAACGAGACAGGCCTCTAGTTTGATCTTATGTTCTTAGGTTAGAGGTGCAGTTCTACCGTGTATATCAGCTGCTTAGACTGTACTATGGACATTTATTTTTAAAACTTACATCCTACCTACTTTCAGAGGAACTCAGTATATGTTTAACATATCACAGTACCAAAACAATATTTCACATTAAAACTATCTCCAATATATATCTAACAGAAAATGTATTGGATTTGAATATCCCTGATTCTGAACAAGTAAAAAATACCCCAGAATCACCTTCCCTTTCTATTAAAAAAAGACTAAACAGAGACCCTTCTCACAAGAACATGAATACAAGGTCGGTAATAATGCACTTTCAAATGTAAGAAGGGATGTATAAAGGGCAATAGTAAAAAAAGCAGCAGAAGAAAAACATGTTCCCTATATGTGACCAAAAAAATGCTCTTAACAAAATAAGCTACCAACAAGTATCATGTAAGTTAGAAGGCAACTTTTAGCTAGCATTCTTAATAATTTCAGTTATGTGTTGGCACATGAAATGGAAAAGTGATCTAACACGCAGACTTCTCTTAAAAGGTAATTTCTCTATGTGAGGGGTATAATTACACAATCCAACACAACTCAAACTCAACAATTTGACAAGCGGACAGTACACCATACTAATTTTAAAGCACAGTCATTCTTACCCAGAGAAGTATGACATCAAGAGGAGCACTAGTGGCAACCTATATGTGCTATTCAATTACATTAAACAATAACTGCTGCTTGAATTGTTGATCCCCCTCTCTCCTTTGGCAATAATTTAAGAATAGAAGAGTTTACTGCGCCTTCGAGATGGGACAGGGGATATTCAAAGAAAGCTTGGGCAGAAATCCAAAACACATTTCCTTGAAAGTACATCCTACAGAAATCAATGGCTTCTGCTTCCAAGTAAACGTGCAGAGCTGGGTTGTTAACCTCTACCTTCCATAGCACAGATTAGATAGCTCTGTTCTGGCATTGAAAATGTGTACCAGGACTGTTGCAAAACGCCCATCTGAAAGCTTAGCAAGGGCAGGACCAATGTGCTCTTGGGGGGCTTGGTTTTCCATCAACGCAATCCTATGCTGGTCTGATTAGTAAAAGTAAGCTCCGCTAGATTCAATGGGATTTGCTCCCAGGCCAGTGTTTAGCGAGGGTGGCAGCTCATAACAAACCACCACCACCACCGGGACCCTCCAGTCCGACCCCTGCGTCAGAGCACGAAGAAGCTGGTCCATCCCTGGCATCTCCTGCTCACAAACCGCAAAGGACGAGAATCACTGCGGCAGCAGAAGGGGGTGAGCAGCAGGAGGGAGGCGAGAAAGGCGCAGGTACCAGCCAAGCCGGGTCAGCCAAATGCTGTCAGGCGAGGAGATGCCACGGGAGCGGGGCGGGAAGGACCTCCTTCGTGTTTCGCGACCCCTGAGAGACGACCCCCCTCCCCGCGCGGCACCAGACCGCTTTTCCCCGGGCGGCTGCTCAGGAGACGAAAACGAGTCGTGGGAACGGGGGGGCGCTGGCGGGGTGGGAACGGGGGGGCTGGCGGGGTGGGAACGGGGGGGCTGAACCCGGCCGGGGCCTAAAGCGGGAGCCTCCGCCGCCCCCTCGCCAGGGGCAGGAGGAGGAGGAAGGGGGGCTGCCAAGGTGGCGGGGAAACTTTCCAGCCGCAGCTCCGGGTGGGGGAGGGGGGCTGAAGTCATCACGCAGCCGTCTGCGGGGGTCGCCGCCGCCACGCTCCCCGCACCCACCCACAACCCCCGGCGCCTCCTCCCGGCGCCAGCCCCGCTGGTATCCCTCGGCCGCACCCACAGCTCGCCCGGCCCCAAGCATGCCCGCTCCGGCGCCCGCCTCACCTCCTCGGAAGCCCTCGGGGGAGCCACTCTGCCGCTTCGATTCCTGACCGAGCTCTCGGAGACGCTCCAGCCGCAATGGCCTCCCTCGGTCCCTCACAGGCCGCACCAGGCCCCGAGCGCGATGACAGGCAGCCGCCGCGGCCAATCCACGCCGACATTCTTCGAGGGTCGGCCAACCAGTCTTTCGGAGGCGGGTGTTAAAGGCCACTATATAAGGTAAGGAGTGACAAGCGCCTTCCTCGGTGACTGGGCGGCAGAGGGGGGGGAGGGGTGTGTGCTTTGAGGTAACGTCACCTGCCTGTGCGAAAGTGAGCGGATCCAATATTCACATAGGGTGACACATATGGAAGGCCGTTTCCCTAGTATAATACTGTTAGATGAAGAAGACAAACCAGCAAATGATCGCATGGCTGATGTCAGGCTTCCACATAATTTTGTTTTTCCACTCTGAGGTGAAATGACGTTAAGCATGAATGAAGCACTCGACACACACAGCTAGTTGCCCCACTCCGCACAGCAGTGGAAACGTCATTTTCATATATCAAAACGCTAGGAGAACGGATTAAGTGCGACGTGTTTGCTTTTGAAATGTATTCATATGCATAAATGTCCTGGACTTTGCAATCCCAGCAAAGGGCTGGAGCCGTCGGGTAATCTGCTATTTACCACAATAGGATACTGGAAAAGTGTGGCATACAAGGGTCAGTGACAGTGACATTTGAATCTCGTGCTGGTATATCAGATATGAGGAAAGGAGTTTGAACATCGTCATCCACTGATAGAGGAATGCACACCCAACTGTGAAATTAATCTATATTATTTCCATTACAATGAGACACCTCTATGAAAAATGGCATTTGGTAATTTTATCCTCACCAAGCATGAGATTCATCTGGCAACAAAAGAACACTAAGCAGATGTTCATCCTGCTCATTTGACACAATAGAAATCAGCAGGAAAGAGAAGGCTGCTTCTTTAAGGTACAGTTTTTTCTATATGGGGGTGGGTATGCATTTAACAATAAAGATCCAAAACATAATTATACACTATTCAACTTACATCACTGGTGTAAAACATTGCAAGGTTTCAAAAAGGGCAGCAGCACATAAGAGGAACCCACATAATTTATCCTTCTGTAACTTAAGCCTTTGGGGGTAAAAGATATCAACTCTTTAGGGTAATTCCATACTGTATGGAATGTACTGTATGGAATGTAAGATTTCTTCATATGACATTTTGTGTATTAGCTAATATTATTTGAACTCCAATTAACATTAAACCATTTGTTCATTAGCTGACTTGATCCTCCTAATTCAAAATAATCAGTAAGTATACCGCTGCTAATTTAAATGCTTACTTTTTAAGGTAAAGGTAAAGGTACCCCTGCCCATACGGGCCAGTCTTGACAGACTCTAGGGTTGTGCGCCCATCTCACTCAAGAGGCCGGGGGCCAGCGCTGTCCAGAGACACTTCCGGGTCACGTGGCCAGCGTGACAAGCTGCATCTGGCGAGCCAGAGCCGCACACGGAAACGCCGTTTACCTTCCCGCTGGTAAGCGGTCCCTATTTATCTACTTGCACCCGGGGGTGCTTTCGAACTGCTAGGTTGGCAGGCGCTGGGACCGAGCGACGGGAGCGCACCCCACTGCGGGGATTCGAACCGCCGACCTTTTGATCGGCAAGCCCTAAGAGCTGAGGCTTTTACCCACAGCGCCACCCGCTTACTTTTTACTATGTTTTAAAAACTCTGACCAATGTAACAATTTTGCAACCTTACGAACAAGTGTTTTTGCTAAAAGTATGAATTGTTTTTTCCCTATCCTTGCCAATAAACATCTAATGCTTCAATAAGTGCCCAACTTCTTGTAATGATCATTGGAGACTGTGGAAAGAAATATTTTCTGGCAAATGACCTGTGACCAGTGTTACATGAACAATCTAACTGAGACAATTCATTGATAGACTTTCTCAAATAAATGTCTGCAAAGCAAGACCAAAAGCAAGTGTGCATATGAGGTTAACTATGAATTCACCAGTTGTAGGTCAGCATCAAGCCCATGTGTGATGCTGTAATGCCCATGGGAATTTGCACTTAGCTGTGGCAACACCCTAATAATTTGTTCCTTGTTCCAAATTGAACATATACAAATTGTGAGGAAGACAAATGTCACAGAAATCCCTCTTTTTACAAAGAGGATGAATATTATGTTGCATCACATGGTCAATAAATTTTGTTTTCAAACTCAACAAAGTTGCCAACTGACAACAGTACTTCAGTAGCTGTTTCTGCTTCTTTCTTTCTGCATTTTCTTTCAGGATATTCACACTTCCCATAGGGTCATCGTTCCCCCCGTTTGTGGTGTTTATTTTATATTATGTTATATTTTATATTATGTTTTATATTATGTTAAAATTCATTTACGCTTTGTGTTAAATACTGCCTTCAACCATTTACAGTTGTTCACAACTGGACTTAACTGTCAGGGGTCCTTTACCTTTACCTTTTTACTGTCCCCTGAGGCAAGGCAAGAGAGCTTCAGCTCCTGAGATTAATTTTTTTATCTCTAGATCAGGTGTGGGGAACCTCTTGCCTATGGGCCAGTCTTGGCATGCCAGACTTCCCCATTTGGCCCATGAGGTTATTTTGGGCAAGCCACAGCCAGCCACCCTAATCCTGATGTCATACAGGTAAGAGTGGGGCTTGACCAATCATATTGTACAGCTCCTTTAAAGGTAAAGGTACCCCTGACTGTTAGGTCCACTCATGGCCGACTCTGGGGTTGCGCGCCCATCTCGCTCTATAGGCCGAGGGAGCCGGCATTTGTCTGCAGACAGCTTCCAGGTCATGTGGCCAGCATGACTAAGCCGCTTCTGGCGAACCAGAGCAGCGCACGGAAATGCCATTTTCCTTCCCGTAAATTTGTTTACTTGCACTTTGACGTGCTTTCGAACTGCTAGGTGGGCAGGAGCTGGGACCAAGCAACAGGAGCTCACCCCGTCGCGGAGATTCGAACCGGCAACCTTCTGATTGGCAAGCCCTAGGCTCTGTGGTTTAGACCACAGCACCACCTGTGTCCCACAGCTCCTTTAGTCCAAACATAAAGTTTATTTTGTTTACCAAATGAGAAAGCAGAACTATCAGTACAATAAAGGGTCACTAACCTATTCTGTTTATTAAAGAGGTTTTTAACCAAACTTTAGCGGGTGGGGGATAAAGGAATTTGGGTTGTCTTTCATAGCACACTTCTGGCTGCCTTACTCACATGAAAAAATTTGTTTTGTAAAAATGTTGTCAGATAATAAAACTGTGGAAAATCGTCTTCAAAATGATACAGAACATGTTAACTATATGTGAATATAAAAAAATAGGTCTGCAGATTGACCCTTAATCTCTTCTATGGGACAGCCCTTCAGGAGATAAGACAAAAATGGGCACAGCCAATGCAAAGTGCTCTTGCCAACATGTGTCTCCAGGCACAGCAATGAATCCACGGGCACCTCTAAGGATGTTTACCTGAGGAACCAGCAAAAACTGAACACTATGAGATAAAAATAATAGTAGTGGGGGTAGAGGAAGAAACATCAGAAGAACAGGATGTTTTAATTAAAGGAAAAACATTCTGGAACAGGTTTTGCAGGGGAACAAAGAATGTAAGCTCACTTTATCCCAAATCCCAAGGCTTTTGAGCCTGCCAGTGAGCTTGAACTACAGTGGTGCCTCGCAAGACAAAATTAATTCGTTCTGCGAGTTTTTTTGTCTTGCGAATTTTTCGTCTTGGGAAGCACGGTTTCGGAAAAGTTTTGGAAAAGCTTAAAAAATCACCAAAGTCTTCAAAAACCTCAAAAAAGGCTACCACACCGAGTTCTATGAGTTGCTCCTCGAAGTCAAGTCGCAACTGTAGTAACGGTTTTAAGAAAAAGGAAACAAACTTGCAAGACGTTTCCGTCTTGCAAAGCAAGCCCATAGGGAAATTCGTCTTGCGAAGCAACTCGAAAAACCAAAAACCCTTTCATCTTGCGAGTTTTCCGTCTTGCGAGGCATTCGTCTTGCGAGGTACCACTGTAGTTAAATAAATTGAAGTCACTAAGTAGCAGAGAATCTACATCTCATGTGCAGTCTCTCAAAGTTAAAGGATTTTTATCCAAAAAGGGACATTACTGTACAGACTGCTTATTCTCTTCAGTGAGCTGTAGCGTAAAAATTGCTACTTTGAAAACTGCAGTATGGGAACATATTGAGAAATTATCTTTGTGGCAAAATTTATTTCTCTAGGAAGTGAAGAAGTGATAGAACTTCAGCAACACAGTTGCTAGAAATATAGACAGTCATTTTCTTACATGTTCCATGAAGCTTGAAGATACACCAGTTAAGTGCATAATATGATTACCGTACCTGTCTGCATTGTCAGTGGCACTGATACTTTGTGTCAGTTCATAGTAATCAGAAATTTTGAAACATCCCCATACTGTAGTTAGAATTTTTTTCTTCACCCTGATTTGTCCAAGACTATACTGTGAGCTTCATCCAGAGGCACCACCAGGGCCAAAATATGCAGCAGAACACAGCAGAATGAGAAAAAGGGGCCCCCAACAAAGCAAGACTAGCGTACTATATTCTGAAGTAATGCACATTACCATCTAAAGAGCCCACATCCCTAACCTGCTCTCCATAAGAATAAGAATTAATTACTTATACCTTATCCACCATTAAGTCCAGGATATAAAATTAACTAATTATACCAGTAGATCCGACAGTGTCCACAATGCCAAGCCAAAAGGTTGAAGAGGCGGCATCAAATCACAGCAGAGCCGAGGCTAATTAAGAACATAAGAGCAGCCACAGTGGACCACTGCCTCTGGAAGGCTTGCAATCAGGACATGAAAAAGTAATCCTCTCCTGTTGTTGACCTCCAGGAACTGAAAGTTTCATACATGCATCATAACTAATATCCATTGATAGACTTATCCTCTGTGAGATGTGTCTAATTTCCTTTTAAAGCTATGAAAACTAGTAGCTATTATCACCTCTAGTGCCAGTGAATTCCTCAAATTAATTTTTCATTGTGTGAAGAAATACTTCCTTTCATCTGTTCTAAAGATACCAGTCAA